CCAAATCACTCTTGATGGAGATGCCTTGGAGGACGTTAACACCTTTACATATCTTGGCAGCATCATCGACAACCATGGTGGATCCGATGTAGATGTGAGGGCACGGATTGGCAAAGCAAGGTCTGCATTTCTACAGTTGAAAAATATCTGGAATTCCAAACAACTTTCAACCAAAACCAAAATCACGATTTTCAATACAAATGTGAAGACAGTTCTACTGTATGGAGCGGAAACATGGAGAACTACCAAAGCCATCATCCAGAAGATACAAGTGTTTATTAACAGCTGTCTACGCAAAATACTTCGTATTCGTTGGCCAGACACCATCAGCAACAACGAACTGTGGGAGAGAACAAACCAGATTCCAGTGGAGGAGGAAATCAGGAAGAAGCGGTGGAAGTGGATAGGACACACATTGCGGAAAGCACCTAACTGCGTCGCAAGACAAGCCCTCACATGGAACCCTCAAGGCAAAAGGAAAAGAGGAAGGCCAAGGAACACACTACGCCGAGAAATAGAGAAAGATATGAGAGGAATGAACAAACATTGGACAGAACTGGAGAGAGAAGCCCAGGACAGAGTTGGTTGGAGAAAACTGGTGAGCGGCCTATGCTCCATTGGGGGTAACAGGCGAAAGTAAGTAAGTAATCGCTATCACTCTTGGTTTGGAACTGACTGTTGCGTCTCTGTGCTGATGTGGTATGGCAACCTGAACTGATGTATTTACGTACGAAGTTGTGCGTTCTATTTGTCTATTTATTTATTACTAGTCTGTGAAATAACTTGACTTACTAGTTACACATTATAAATGATGTCAGAGATCGTGTGATTCTGGAAAATGCTTATTTACCATCCCTATCATATTCTTTTACCTCATCTAATTTTTCGTTGAGACTTTAAAGTTCCTCTTGTTTATTTATTGACATCATTGTGTTACAGTTTTTCAATAGATAAGTTATTTGACATGCTTTGCTACTCCTGGAACATATTAATTAATCAATAATCATTCAGATCATAGGTCAAACTAATCATATCTATTTACAGATTGATATTCATTGTTCATTGGTAGTTGTGTTACGTTCGTCACTAGGTACGCTTGAAACTATTACAAGTTCACCTTAGTCGATAAAACGCGAACGAGACAATTACCAGAGTCCAGGTAAGCTACCTTGAATCCCAAACTTCAAAACAGAAGACTTGGTAGGCGTAAAAAGTAGATTCTACAAACATCCAGCAATCACAATACAATTAAGTACACAACTCTTGTTTATTTATACATCATAGAAACGTCCTTGGGACAGTCACGAAAATAGCACACTAAAATACACAGTAGCCAATCACAGCCATGGAGTTTCCTGGTGGGAAATGAAATCTCAAAGTCAACTGATCAACCCATGCTCGCAAACGTGAAATCCAAGCGAGTTCTTGGGATCGAACATTTCCAACAGTTGACTTTTATTATTATTCACTTGATACTGGGAAAAAATGTTACAACAAGCTCCTTCTTTTTGACTTCATTCCGTTGTTATATTTGCATGAATTATCAAAAGATTATGATTACGTTAACTTTTACTTAGTAACATTTCTGAAGGAAGGCTTTTTATCTTTGTACTACTACTACTACTACTACATTGCAGTATAATATTTGTATTTACTCTCGCCCAATTTGTCATGTTTTTTTAGGCTAATTTTCATTCAAATACATTTCCTGATGTTAACGGGTCTACTAGTTCATCAGAATCACTAAATGATGATGATGATGATACCACTCCCATCTCATTGCCTGAATCATTAGATCATAATAATAATGATCAAAAATCTCTTAAACCTAATGATTCTTCTGTTAATTCTTCTTCCATTATTTATACAACAAATACTGTTTTAAAGTTAAATGATGACAATTCTGTGATAACTAATGACAATAATCTTATTGTCACAGGACCTACTGCCAAGTTAGTTTTTTTTGTTTTTTATTCATTATAATACGTCTTTTAGACAATAATTGTGGTAGAATTTTTTTCCCCTCAATAATAATAGTTTGAAATAGCAGTTTCAAAAACGAAGGTGTTTTTTTTGAAATTTTCGTTTGGCTGAATAGAGAGTATAGAGCAAAAGAAGAAGTTTATACTTTTGTAATTTTAAGTGCTAAGGAAGGATAAAGAGTAATTGCACGTTCACCAGTGTAAACGATTCGAAGCAATATTGCCCAAAGTCTTCAATAAATAAATTAGTTACTGAAATTCTGCACTTATTAATCAGGTTGTCAACACCTACCTACAAAGCTTAGTTCATAGATGAATAATGAAACGAAGGTAAGATAGTCTTTTACAATTGCAAAATCTGTGACTAATGGATATACTTTCGATAAATGTTTACCAGCATTAAGAAGTTTGTGAGAAAAAATTAGTAAGTCTTTCCAACTTCAATATTCGCTGTTCTCACATCGCTCCAAATTCTTAGCTTTTTTCTTCTTATTTAATGACTAAATATACCATGCCTATCGATTGTTCGGCACATGAAAACCATTTTCTAACCTGTTTTTTTAAGTAGTATCTACACGATTATATAATTGACAGTCAGCGACAACGTAGAACTTAATGTGTACTTACATCAGTTTAAGTTGCCATACTACATTAGCACAGAGAGATGAAATTGTCAATTCAAATCCCATATTAGTAGAGGTAGTAGTCGTATCAGGGTTAATGGAAAAAAAATTAGGGATTAAAGATATGATTAGTGAATTAGATCCTAATTTTATTTCGCGAATAAATACACTACCCTTGATTGAACATCTATCCATTATTTGTGTTCATTTTTATCTCTATATTTTTTCTTTACTAATCGATATTATTTTCTTTATCCGCAGGCCACGTAATAAATCTCAAAATATAACAGAAATATTTGGTAATAAATCTGCTCAAGCTTCACCTAATTTTTCCAATGAACAACCAGCATCAAAATCTCCTGTAGGAGGAATAAGTAGACCTAAACTTCCTACGGACACAGTAATTAGAATGGCTTCTGTAGAAGATACTTCAGATACTACTCATTCTAATCGTGCATCTCCGGTTAAAAAATTCCCTGATACTTTAGATGTACAAGGAAATCCTGATGAAGATGCTTATAGTAGTGGAGGTGTAAGTGTTAATTTTTTTGTTGAATTTTCTCGAATATTCGGTATGATTAAAAGGTTTATGTAATTATTTCAGCTTTATCGTCTATAATAGAACTACTTTTAAATAGTTTCTACAAATCAATCTTGAAAAATTAATGAACACGAAACCTATTTATTGTCACTTTCATCTGTATAAATGATTCTGAGTTCACTATCGTTTGTTTCCACACTATCAATTAGAACAATTGAAAAAGCAACCAATTATCTTATATTCTATGTTCATTTATAGATTTTATATTTATCTGTATGAATAGTTTACATTGGCATCAATAAATAAATTTGACAAATTTAAATATTCCTCTGTGCTGTAAAAAAAGCAATTCATTTTTACCTTTGGAATTTTATACAGTGGTAGGAATTTCGGCCATAGTACTAAATGCTAATGTGTTGAATGTGTTTCTTACTTACTTACTTCCTTACGCCTGTTACTACCAATGGGGCATAGGCCGCTGATCAGCTACTTCCAACGTACTCTGTTCCGAGCCTTGCTTTCTAGTTCTGTCCAATTGTTATTCATTCTTCTTATGTCTGTTTCCGTTTCTTGGAGTAATGTGTTTGCTTTTGGTCTTCCTCTTTTCCTCTGGTCTTGAGGATTCCAAATGAGGTCTTATCTTGTGACCCAGTTGGGTGCTTCCCGAAATGTGTATCCTCTTTACCTCCAGCGTTTCTTCTTCCTCAACTGGAATCTGGTTTATTCGATCCGATAGCAGGTTGTTGCTGATAGTGTCTGGCCAATTGATCTGAAGTATTTTGCGTAGACTACTGTTAACAAACACTTTTATCTTTTAGATGGTGATGGCTTTAGTAGTTCTCCAAGTTTCCACTCCATACAGTAGAACTGTTTTAACATTTGTATTGAAAATTCTGACTGTGGTGTTTGTTGATAGTTGTTTTGAGTGAGTATGTTTCAGTCAAACTTTTTAAAAAATATTTGATTTTTTTTCGTGTTTATTATTTCCAAACTTTTTTTAAACTTTAATCACGTGGATACATTTATTTCTATTTGCATAACCTTTCAGGTTAATCTAGTTTATGCCTTGTTCATATATATTTGTTATTGGTTGAGTTGAATTCGTCTTGACGCTTTCACCTTACATAACAATCATAAGTTACTTGGCACATGTGTTAAGTATTTCTATTTTTAGCAACTACTATTGAAGAACTGTTGTATATTTTTCTTTGTTACAGTAGTTTTATTGTTTTATCAGCATGAATGTTAGAGTATGATTAGCGTCAACAATAGTTGTGTATGGTGCTTTTCAGGTCATTAACATTATTTCCCACAAGATACACATGGTATGTAATGGTCATACGTATTTATATTTATTATAATCTTAAACTTACAATAATGTATTCCTGTCTTTCCATCTATCACTTTTTTTAAACAATTTGCATCAATTCATTCAATCAGTGGATTGAATTAGGTATATTCAGTAAACGGCAACCGAAATAAGTTTAACTAATATTCATAGTACCACTACCACTAATATAATGATAATATACTGGCTTTCATTTTATTACATGGATTAAATAAAGCTTATCATCCAGAGGTAATTCGACCATTTTCTCTTATCCTCAATCAAGTTCCATGATACGAGATAGAATTTTGAATGTAAATATAACTTTTTCTGTGGTGGTGGTGGTGGTGGTGGTGTTTCGTTCTCTGAGCTGAATGTTTTGATTGTGGAGCTTTCATTGTTCTCATTCTGAACAACAACATCATCAGCACAAACTTCAGATAAGTAACATAGCAGTCATGTAAATTTGCATTGGTGTATTTATTGCTTTTAGGTAAATCTCGACAACGGGTACAATTTTGTAGTGATATGATAGTAAAAAAAATTGATCACAATGCCAAATAAAATTATTCTATATATTGCCGGAATATTCCATGGAAAAATTGTCAATACATAAACTAAGCATTATTTAATATTTTAAAATAGTTTAACAAAAAACTTCTGTCTGGATTTGCTGAGTTTGTTTTTTTCTGTCTATAAATCAGTGAATTCTTCTCACTTTGTTAAGTTGCTCAAGATAAGATAGACTAGGACTAACTGAAATGATTAAATAAGATTAAGATAATGTTTGGATCACGAACGGGTGTAAGTATATGTTGGTAGATGTAGGCTACCTGGTTGGGGTTGTGCGAGATGATAATAATTGGTGGTTAGAGACCCTAAATGACATGGCTCAAAACCGTTTGCAATGGCGCCGGTGCATTTATTCTTTGTGTTCTCTCTAATCCTAATCTTCTGGATTCTTCAACACTTCTAGTTTTGTCTTTCTAACCTTATCTCACTGAATCATACTTCTTGAATAATGTCTTGTAATCCTAACCTCTCCGATTACTTCTAATACCTTTACTATCTCTTCTACTATGGGATTTAAATTGATAATTGTGTCTCTGTGCTGATGTGGTATGGCAACATGAACTGATGTACTTACGTACGAAGTTCTACGTTGCATCTGACTGACTGACTGCAAAATTGAAGGTTTCAAGTTAGATCCCTGATTTAGAGGTTGTAGGTTCACATTTCACAACTGTCTTAATGTTTTTGCATTCATTTTTCCTCTGCCTTATTTACACCTAGTAAGTTGGTGTGTTTCAATGCTACTGTGCAAATTGTTATCTATCAAAAACAGGTATATGTATTTTGTAAAAAAATGATTCCAATTAAAAAGAAAACCATTACTGAATAAATAATTACAACTTACAAAACGTAAGTAATTCTACAACTACTAAATGACAAACATTTCATGCAAATAACCTTATCATTATCAATATCAATAAAAAAAATTTGTTCACCATCAATCACTGTGTGTGTGTATTCAACACACTGCAACACATTGCAATTCGTACCGTAACACACACATTACTATTTCAAGAAAAATAACAAAAAGAAACATGTATTCACAAAGTTCAAGTTCATACATGACTCATTGTTGCTTCTACATGTGACTTCATTTTTATCATTATTAGTTTTGATATGTGAATATTGCTATAAGCAGCTACACCGTTAACATTTGAAGTTGAAACGACAATTACCGTTAATATTCCTTTAAATTGAATTGCTTGTAAGGGGAGGGACGGGTACAATTAGTCGATCATTGATTGATTTTCTAATGTCATTACTAATTTTGGTGAATATTGCATTGCTTTTTTTCACAGCTGTTTGCTTAAATATCTGGGCTGCCTGTTTCTCTTGCCATTTTAGATAATTTCAACAAGCTTTTTGTTTTTTTATTCGTTTTATTGCTAATTATGTCCATTAATCGCATAGCACATTTGGAAGTAAGCAATTCATGAATCAACGTGTTATTAACGTTCATTTTTTTCTAAACGGATTGCCAGCCAGTGAGATGTCTGGAATCTTACTTTTTCGAGTGCTGTGAAGCTCAGGGTGATAAAAGTATAAGTATACGCGAAAGATTAGTTTTAGAAACAAGACATTTATTAAAAGGTGGCGGAAAGATTTGATTGTTACCAATTTGGTCTCGTGGATTGTTACGGGTATGAGGTCGGATATTACTTCGCTGCTGTCCACACTGTGGAAAAATGTTTCTAGAGGGATCTGAAAAGGAAATTGGATTATCGTTGGTCTTAGCTACCTTTTAGTCTTATCGTCCTCCAATCGACCTGCCTGGCATGGTAGAACCTTCAGGAACATATGTCCCAATCACTTTGCTCCGTTGGGTCATTACGATAGACAAACCCTACCATCACGTCTAGGTAGCAGATACGTTCAGGCTTGATAAGGGAAGTGTCTTAATTCGAACAAGGAAAGTTAACTACGGGAATTACTTAGAAGATATGTGTTTTCTACACTTGCTAATTAAAAGGATGTTTGTATGTATGTATACCAATGTCTGCTTCTTCAAACCCCTCTGAAATGCATGAACTCCTGTCTCTTGTTGAACAATGTTTTTTCACCTAATCCTTCTTAATGTCAAACTGTTAATTATAAAGTGAGACGTGAACAGCACTTAAACACCTAGCTGGAATCCCACTAATTTTTTACTATTGTAGATTCGATAATAAAAACTGTTAAAGTTCATGTATCTTGGTGTGAGTTTTCCCTCTTCTCTCCCTCTCGGTCTTCTCATGTTTTATCGGGACTGAATAAATTTTTCAGTTTTACTCATTATGTAAAGAGGCTAAATATTTTAACATTCACTCTCATGATTTGTAAATTCCACATAATCGATTACTCTTCACTGCTTCTCATCATTCTTTCCTGAAATTTTTTGCGAAAAGGTTTTATTGTGTTATCGAGAGTGCTGAAGACACCTTTAATAGTGTTTGGTAAATCTTTTAAAGTCATAAGGAATATGATTGTGGATAAACATTCGAAAACTTGCTAACTGCCAGCAATCGTTATCTTATTGAGTTCTAACTATCCACTTCATTCATATTTCTTTGTCAGACGCCGATACTTTAAAATCCATGTACTCCAGTGAATGTATAAAAGTTCTACAATACTTTAGCAAATATAATCTACGACGAAAACAGATTGACCCAGTCAAAAAAATTTCTATTCTTAAACATGTTAATAATTAAAAGTTGTATAGATTCTCATATTCTTAAATACTTTTTATTCAATTCCAGATAGTTTATCGATTGCATGTATTCAGATATTATGTTTTCTAGTTTACGGTTTTTTAGCGAGTTAGTTTTTTGTGAGATAGGATCGCCAACCCCATGCCCAACCCTCCTCCTTTATCCGGGCTTGGGACCGGCAGTAGCCGGGGCTCCAGGCTGATTTCTGATTTTTGTAAAAGAAACTTATTGAAATACATCGTTCTGAGAATTCCCCATTGTACTAAACATATAACACTAAACAATAATATTAATAATAATTATAATAGCAATAATAATAGTACTAATTTTTATGGATGACAGTTTAAATGCTCTGAAACCGGCGTTCATTTATAGTTGACCAGTGTAAGTCAGTCTGTCTTCCAATATTGAAAATAATGAGTTCACCTGCCTCAATCATTCCAGTGTTCTTATTATCGATTCTCGTGGTAAAACACTTATCTTTTATTCTTTAGATGCTTCTCAGTTTTTTTTTAAATGTTTCATGTATCCGTTGAAATAATGCTCTTACTTAATGCGTATAATATGAAATTTCGGTCCATGTTTCATAGAATAAAATCTAATATCAATAAATTGATTTTATGCGTATATTTGTTAGTTATGCTGCTGTGCAAAACATATGCCTCTAACTAATCAACATTCTAAAATTTCAATCTTCGTCGATTCGAACTACTTTTAAAATTCCCTTTCAAAATTGTTCTTTTTCATTGTTTTTCTGTGTGCTATTTGTATTCAACCAGCAGATTCATGCATATAACAAAACAACGATTGACCTAATGGTTTAAGTTTTAATGAATTTATTAATTAACACCTTTCATATCAAGATAAGATTTGAAGCTGTTTAGTCAATTATTTAAAACCTAATTAACTAATCTTCGAAACAAGTAATTTCATTGTTTATTAATTAGACTGTTTATTATCAAAACTAAGATATATGCTGATAGTATTGCTGACAAAATGTTAAAAAAATTTTGTGATACTCGATAGCACAAAATGACTGTGATTGATTTGTGGAAATTCCATAAGTTTCCGTTGTGTATATGTTGTGCACTGCTTAGCAGCTCCAAACTGAAATAAAACATCCTTTTTTCCACGCTGTTTGGGTTTTCAGATACTTCTGTTAGGTTCATCACTAAGTACGCTTGAAACTATTACGGGTTCACCTTAGTCGATAAAACGCGAACGAGACAATGAATAAGCGTCCAGGTAGGCTACCTTGATCTGAAACGGCTAAAGAGAAGTCTTGATAAGCGTAAAAAGTATATTCTACAAACATCCAGCAATCACACAATACAATCAAGCACTCAACTCTCGTTTTTTTTGTACATCACAGAAAAGTCGTTGAGACAGCCACAAAAATAGCACACTAAGATACACAGTAGCCAATCACAGCCATGGATTTTCTTGGTGGGAAATGAAATATCAAGGTCAACTGATCAGCCCATGCTGGCAAACGTGAAATCCAAAATACGGCATTTATGAAGCGAGTTCTTAGGATCTAACATCCCCAACAACTTCTACAACTAATGTCGGTTCTTGATTGTATCGTATTTCAAGCTTTGGTATCAACTGTAAATGTCTGCTTTCATATTATGAATGTTTCTAAAGAGCCTGATTGTATTTATTTGTTAATTTTAATATAATAGAGTTTTCATTCTGCAAGTGCTCATTTCATTTGTGTGGAATGCTTCAACCAGTTCCTCAGTAATAATCAATTTCTTTAACGTTCATGCTTGTATTATTGACATTGCAGTAAATATTGACGACATTCTTTATTATTATTACTAATTTTTATTATCTTACGCATGTTATTGTAGGAAGAGATTTACGTTATTTCTAGACGAGTCGGGTTCACAGATGATGTGGAAGATAATGAAGAGAAGTCAAATCAAAAACTTATTCGTCGTGATACTCCACATTATACAAAACGCGCTCGAATTCAGTCGAAAACAGCTGATGGAAGTAAGTGTAAAATGATAAATTTTCATTTCTATTAAATAAAGGATTCGCATTTTATTTAATGAAATTCAAGGCATGAATTTAAGCATTGATGTAATCACAGATACTAATTTTTTTATAATGAATAGTGCAATTCTCACCATATACATACAGTGTTTTCTTTTATTTAAATGATTTTAGCATAATAAACTGTACTCATTCAGGACCTGTTTAGTTGCAAACTTTAAATGAGTCCAGTGTTTCTTGTTGTTGATTAAAATATCAAACACTTGACTATACATTTTAAGTGAATTTTATCTGGAACTTTATTGCTCCAATGCACTGTCACTGACAATGGGTACTGACGCTGTGTCTTCGTTTGATCACCTCTAATCTTTCTTCTACCTAGCCAGTATTGAACACCTAGGTAATCAGTAGTTAACTGTGCATTTGTTCTTCGTCTTCTCTTAAATCCTTATCTAATGTCCTCATAACCTCTTTTCTCTTTTTAAATTTATTTCACTAGATTATACTTCTTGAATCAAGTATTCAATCCTTAATCTTTTCTGTTACTGTTAATACTGCTACAACCTTTACTAATATGCAATTTGGATTGAAAATTCCATCTCTCTGTGCTAATATGAAATGACGAGTTGAACTGATATACGTACATGCATACTATGCTCTATGTTTTAGCTGACTGAATTGACCTTAGCTTCGTATGTGATAGTATTCAACAATATGTGATTGACAATTAAAATTATGGAAGTATACTTAGACTTTGTTTGTTTGTTTGCTAGCATTCATTCATAGATAAGTGACTCTTTTATTTACTGCTTTTATTCTATTCCTTTAAACATAATACGATGATTACTGTTTATGCGCCTGTATTTTTATATGCTTATATGCCCATACTTCATGTCATAGTTCAAATTACACGCGTTACATGACTCTATTCCATTTTTGTGTTTGTTTTTATTTTCTCTCCCTCTCTCTCTCTTACATCATCCCTCATTCTCATACTATTATATCCATCCCTATGTTGGTTTTCATCATGAAGTGGATAGTGAAGAGGCAGTATTGAAAATTTTAGAAAAGTATCGAGCATCCGTCTCACCGAATCCTGATTCCAACTCAACTGATGTAAGTGTTCTACGATATTATATATATATATATATATATATATATATATATATATATATATACATTCCTGCCTCTGTTATCGTCACAATTGTTTGTTATCTCTTAGCTAACATAAACAACGCAATACAAACTTCACATTGATTTTTCGAAATATGAATTTCATGTTTGTTTGTTTGTTTGTTTGTTCTTTTGACAACTTTTCGCATACAACACTGTAGAAATGTTTTTTGCTGTTGTCAGATTCATATCCTTTTTTAGTAGTAGTAACCTTTTAGATGAATATTTTTAGTGTATTTTGAAACTTTTAGTTTTTGTGATCTGAACTTCTTACATAGTTGTTCTACTGAGATAATCATTTCGATTTTGTTTGTTACAAAGTATGCACTAACTTAGAGTTGATTGCTAAATATATATATATATATATATATATATATATATATATATATAGAGAGAGAGAGAGAGAGAGAGAGCGAACATTGGTAAACGACTATTAAGATTTGAAGCCCAATTGTAATGAAATATTCTGTTTAATTGAATAAAAATTTACACTTGACGCTAATTAACTTACTGTACATTAATATTATATAATTGTGACTGTTGAATTCCTCACCACACGTCTCAACTTGTTGACTGAAATTCACCATCAATGGCGATTAGATGTATGAAAGTAATTAATGATCAAGAAACAGTTAAAGTGATTAGTCAATAACTATTATTATACACGGAAATATATTAACTGTAATCTGTTCAGTGACAACACAGCAAAAATAGCATTACTTGAAATCGAAATTTTCAAAAAAGCACTTAATTTTCATGAAACTAGATTCTTTTCTGGTCAATAATTACTCATTATAATCATTGTCATATATATTGGTTGTCTAAAAACTGATTTTACCAGAGTATTTATTTATTTACTGTACGTACATACAAATTTGACATGAGCACTCAAACATGTGTGTGTATAGCTAACGATTAAGTTATCAATCCATGAAGTTGAATTACTGATTTTCATATTTAGCATCAACAGTATAATTGTTGTTTCTGTCGATTTAGATCAATCCATCCTACAAGCAATCAAGATAGTTTGAATACGAACGAAGTCTGTTGTAACATTGAAAAGGCGACAACTGATGCAAAGCTCTTCAACAATAATCTCCAACCCTTAGATAAGGTGAAAGCGTAAAAGGAAATTGATATTTTCGCAGATAAATTAAAATGAAATAATGGAAACCGATATAACTTTATGACAAAATCTACGAAGCTAAAAGTTGTAATAACGAATCAATAGATAACAAAGGTGTTACGCTTGCACGTAAACACGTCAACTTGATATGCTTGAACTATTACGAGTTTACCTAGTCGGGAAACGCGAGCGAGGATCATGGATCCGGCCACACGACATGCTACTCAAATCCGATTATCTCAACCCTCATATTTAGTTAAAATAAGAAGACGTGATATGAAGTAGAACTTGTATTCTACAAGCATCCAGAAAGTACGAGGTCCGAATCCAGAAAAGAATCAGGATCCCGGACTAGGGATCCGGGACCGAGCCCTGGTCGTGGTCATGGTCATAAAACGTTACAGATAATGCGTATTTATACATTTTGGTTGAATATGAAACAGCATCGAATTCTGTGACGTTGACAGTTATGACGACCAATAGGAAATAACATTTGAAATGACATTGACAGTCCGGATGACCGATAAGAGACCACATTGAAGTATTTGACTTTGACAGTTAAAACGACCATAATTTTGACCAATAGGAATTGACCAATAATTCTCTTAGGATATTGGATGAATATCCTAACAAAAGGTCATACACTTATCGTTACAAGAAGGAAGTAACACTTATCGAAAAAAAACTAAATTACCTGTTAATGTTCTTAAGAATGATCCTTGTGATTTCATATATATGTTTTAAAACTTTTCCTCCTTAATTTTTCTGTTTAGTTTGACGGGACAGAAAAACGATTTGCCTCTCCATTCAATAGATTAAGTCCTCCTGATATTCCGCTACAAAGTCGTGAATCGCATTCTCCGTTATCGTTACATCAACAACCTTGTCAACAAGAACAAGTGGAAGTGCATATCCATCGACAACCAAATGCTGGTTTAGGTCTTAGTGTAGCTGGTGGAGTTGGTTCGATACCATTTCGTGGTTTAGATCATGGTATATTTGTTAGTCGGTTAAATCCTACTGGATTAGCTGCTACTTCAGGACTTAAACTTGGTGATAAACTATTAGAGGTTAGTGTTTTGTTTTTTTTTTGTTTTTTTCTTTCCTAATAGTAAAACATAAAAATAACAGCCGGACTATTTCTCTTCTATTGTGTTAATTTTCTTTTGTTTCAGGTTAATGGTATTAATCTTGTCAATGTTGAACATCATGTAGCTGTGGCTGCTTTACGCGCTAATACAAATCATTTCCGTATTCTTGTCGGTCGTGATATTCAATTGTCTGCAAAAACAGATAACTGTAAAATTATCCCTCCTAATTTACCAGGAACAAATGCGAATCTGTCGAATCAATCACCGGTAGGTTGGTTTTTCTGCTTAACTAGACTTTTATTCGTTATAGTTGTTGTTGTTTTTGATGATGATCGATTTTTCTTCGATTTAATCTTCTAGACTAGAATATGTTCTTTTTTTTAAAATTCATTGGTCATTTAAAATTTTTCTTTGCTTGATAACAAACAAACAAACTACTAGTCTAAATAAAAAAACATGTTCATTCACGGTAAACATTAAATAATTATTCATCCGAACTATATTTTTAATAGTGTCTGTTCGATAGTATATGAATCAATGATTGGAGATTATGTTGTGTTTACAGCGTCTTCTTTATATGTAGATACAATTATTATTGATATCGTCATTGTTTCAAATCTATAACCACGATTCATTTTGTTCATATAACTTTTATGAAAAAATATTCCACTACACCAAATATGTAGGTTGATCATGAGGGATGAAGCTGTTTATTTGGCTGGCAAATTTTAATTACCTTCGAACCGCAACTCCCATTCTTGTTTAATTTTGTCATAGACATGCTTCTAGATATAACCTTATCCTCGTCCGACTTTTCAGGAGTCGACTTTCTACCAGGAAAATCTCTAGCTGACTTAGAATATGCCGATGACATAGTTCTATTCGGTAAAGTCTTTTGACTACCCCCTCGAAATGCAGAATGTTGCTTCAGGATTGGCTTGCGACTACACCAGAAATAGTGATAGGGAGTGAAGTAGTCGAATGTGTAGATCGCTTCACGTATCTGGAGAGTTTCATCAGTGCTGATGGCCCGGTGACTGACGAAATCTAGGCTCGGATACAGAAGCCTCGATAGGCTTTTGCCAACCTGCGTCACCTATGGCGTGGGCGAGATATCCGCTTGCTAACTAAAAGACGAGTGTACCGTGCAGCAGTTCGCTCCGTCCTACTATACGGATGCGAAACATGGCCGTTAAGAGTAGAGGACTTTCGTAGGTTACTAGTCTTCGATCATCGTTGTCTCCGAAGCATTGCTCATCTATCCTGGGTCGACCGAGTAAGCAATGCTATCGTTAGGAAACGAGTTCTAGGTAGGGATGGCAAATCCATAGATGAAGTATTGAAACTTCATCAGTTGAGGTAGTTGGGACATGTGTTACGTATGATTAACCACCGAATGCCTCGTCAAGCTATGTTTTGTGGTGTAGGAGTAGGTTGGAAGAAAGCTATGGGCCGCCAAACCAAAACACGGCACAAATCCATGAAGTTACTGACAAGTGGACTGATTCATGTTGGTAAATATAGGCTACCTGTTTGGGGTCCGCGAGACGAAAGTCAATAATGGTTAGATATCTTGTACGACATGGCTCAAAATCGTTTGCAATTGTGCAAGCGCATTCATTCATTGTGTTCTCTCAAATTCTAACCTGTATTCCTCATCATTTCTATCTTTCGCTTTCGAAAGTCACTCACAGAATTATACTTATCGAATCATATCTTCGAACTATAATCTTCTCCAATACTGCTAATACTTCTGCTATCGCTATCACTCTGACAGTTACGTCTCTGTGCTGATGTGGAATGACAACCTGAACTGATGTACTTACGTACGAATTTCTGCGTTGTATCTGTCTGTCTGCCTGTCTGGAATTGCAACTAACCCGTGTAGTTGTCAAATTGACAGAATCTCAGCACATAAAATAAAAGCCTGTTCGGTTTTTTTCAAAATTTTACTTAAAACACCTGTCAGTTAAATAATGTCACAGTTTGATTTGTAATATTTTTTTAGATGTTACGCATTTTTTGAAAGTAGATGTACATTAGCTTTCCAGTATTTGATCATGAATGCATTTAAATGTCCGAAAATTATTGTATATAGATTTGGAAACCAGTTTGACTAAGTTTATCAAGTTGTTCAAACTGGGCAGAATAATTAACCAAAATAACTGGATCATCATGTTATTTCTTCACGCTAACTCTCTCGCTCTCTCTTCTCAGATATTTTTTTATCATCAATGAGTAATTCTAATGTTTTAATGTTACCATATATAACTGAGATTATCCAATGCTAGTGATTTTATATTAATTTGATATTCTTATTTATCATTTCGCATCACTGTGTTAGCGTGAAAATGATGTCAGCTTTAGCCAGAACACATTTGTACGCTAAGCATATCATCATTGATCATAATTGACTGATTGAATGCAAGAATCATTACAATAGTAATAACAATAGGTCATTCATTGTATACTAAACTAATTCATAGATAACCACCTAGTTTTAAGTATGTATTCAACTTAATTAGTAATCTTATTGCTAATTACTTTTTATTGTTGCCCACTAGAATCATAATAATAATCCAAAGTTCTGCCTAATATGGTTTTTATTCAACCTTTTAATCCATATAAACTTGTAATTGAAAGACAACAACAAACAACATACAACACTTGCGTACATTATGTATCAGTGAAAAAAAATTCGTCATTTACTTTCTGATTTGCGCAAATACATACATTCATTGTTCAGAGTACAATTATTTATGAGAAAAAATAACAACAACAACAGAGAATCACTTCATTCACGTGAATGCACACTTTACCACACTATACAAGTGTTAATTAGTGTGCATTTTCATTTTCCAATTGAAACAACCTTATTGTGTAGAAGAGGAAGAAAAAAATAGGAAAAGTTTGTTGATGAACATATTCCTGAATGTGTTAACTAACTGCTACATTGGCTAACTGTTCTTTTTTATTTTATGTTTTTGATTTACACTTAGTTTTCTTTCAACACTGTGAATTATGAATTTCATTATTCAGTATAATCGATCAAGTTTACTTCGAATATATATATTTATTATTGTGAATTATCCACAGTATTGTCCATGTTAACTACTTGGTGTAAGGCGATTTACTCCCCCCCCCGGGTATACAACAATAATAATATAGACTAATTGATACTTAAAAAAATTATTTTCAGTCAGAGCTTTGGAGGTTTGTGTTTTACACATTTGAAATCATCAATCATGATGGTTAGGCGTTCGCGCACAATACCGAAGGTCCTGGGTTCGAATCCTGTTAGGTGCAGGAGTCGTGGATGCGCACTGCCACTGATGAGTCCCATACCACGGCCGTGTTTCGGTGCTTCCAGGTTTCTAATGGTTGTCTAACAATGATGGTTTGATGATTTTTAAAAAATTAGTAGTGTCTCATCATTACAGAGCAGAGAATGCAATGGATGCATGGAATTCATTTATTAAAACTAACAAACACAATCAATATTTGTCAGTAGACATTTGTTTATTAGCTGGATTCATGTCTGTATTAAAGATATCGTGATTGTTTGTTTGTTTACGATTAATTAATTAATTTTGTCCAGACACTTTAGATGTTGTTTTTTTGTGTGTGTATCTCGCTTTCTCATGTTGTGTGTGGAGTGACCTTAGGCTGCAATAAAAAGTAATTTATAAAAAAAAATTTAACTGATTACTTCAATAGTAAAACAAACTACACATAGTGAAGCTATGCTTTTTATGTTCTCACATAAAGAGTAAAAATGCTTACATTATTTAACTGTTGGGGACGTTATATCCCCAGAACTCACTTGATAAAGGTCCTAAGTTTGGATTTTGTTTTCGGATATAAGCTGATCACTTGACCTTGAGATTACATTTCTCACCTGGGAAATCCTTGGCTGTTATTGGTTGATATATTGTTTTAGTGCGTAATTTTTGTGCCTCTCTCAAGGACGGTTCTGTGATGTTTAAATAAACTCGATTTGTGTGCTTGTGGACCTCATATTTTCTGGGTGCTTGTAGAATAATACACTTTGTACGTCTTGTCAAGACTTCTTCCTTTACTTAGTGGAGCATTGGGACGCTCGGATTAGAGTAACCTATCGTGTCACTGGATCATTTGTCTTCACTCTCGTTCACCGACCCAAGGTGAACTCATAATAGTTTCAAGCATATCAATTGACAATCATAACATTAACTGACCAAATATCCTGAAATGTTGGTCTCTGTCTAATTTGGCTACTTGTCACCTAACCATAATAATTGTATCAATTTTGTTGCATAATTCAACAAACTATATCACATATTGATGAGTGTTGAACACAGTAAACACGATTGCATATTTGATTATCTGAATATTCATGTGCACATCTTCCAGATTCATAGCGTTTATTACTTCTAAGCATATACACATTGTTCTTCTATTTTTTTTCAAATCTACTTTTCTATACAAGATTTAGGTCTTTTAAACAATACCTTACCTTATTAAAATAAAAGTATATTTATGTGCATATCATTTCTTTTCTTTTTTCAATGTTAAATAGGTTACAGGAATGATAAACACCAAAGAAATACCTGAAGTAAGCAATTCTTCTCTTTATTTATCATCGTTTCAATCATGTAATTATCATCATCACGCTAATAACATTGTCAAATAAAATTGTATTATATCATTTTTATTAATTTCACATTTAAAACTAAACATACTGTGGAACGTAATGTAACAAGTGATAGGACGAATGGAGATAATTTAATTTTTGCCTATTTTTAATGCATAACTGTCGAAATTCTTATTACAATGGACATGTAATTACAATTTGTCAACATTAAATTTTCGATGTATATTGTAAATTATTAACTAATCTAGCAATTGTTATCCATTGCTTGTTACGTTTTAAATTTGAAATTATACCTTCATTGATTGTGTAATTGTATGTTACTTGTATATTACATAAGTACCATTCAGTTAGTTAGTCAGTCATTCTGTTACAACGTAGAACTTCGTACGTACGTACGTACCGTACGTACATCAGTTCAAATCCCATAGTGCTGGAGATAGTAGAAGAACTAGCAGTAATGGAGAAGATTATAGTTCGAAAATATGATTCGAGAAGTATAATTTAGTGAGATAACTTTCGAAAGCGAAAGATATAGATTATGAGGAATTCAGAAGGTTAGAATTAGAGAGAACACAAAGAGTGGATGCACCTGCGCCATTGCAAACGATTTTGAGCCATGTCGTTCAAGGTCTCTAACCATTAGTGACTTTCATCTCGCGGACCCCAACCAGGTAGTCTACATCTACCAACATGACTCAGTCCACTTGTCAGTGACTTTATGGATTTGTGCTATGTTTTGGTTGTTCCTTGCTCTCTTCCAACCTATTCCTACACCACAAAACATAGCATATCGGGGCAGCCGGTAGACGGGCATCTGCCATCCTTACCTAATAATCGTTTCCTAACTACAGCATTGCCTTCTCGCTTGTCCCAGGATATACGAGTAATGCCTCGAAGACATCTATAATCGAATACTAATAACCTACGAATATCCTCAACTCTTACCGGCCATATTTCTCGGCCATTAAGTAGGTCAGGGCGAACCATACAGATATATGAAAAACAATAGATATATATCACTAACTGTATATTGGTTAAATTTTTCTTTTCCTTTACAGTTTATTCATTGTACATTACACCGGGATGTAAATGGTTTAGGATTTAGTATTGCCGGTGGTCGAGGTTCACTGCCTGCGTCATCAGTAGTTAATGAAGTGAGTTTAATTGAATGAATATTTTTAAAAAATTTATTATTGAAAAAATTGTTAGTGTAGATAAAATGCTTCTTTTTTATTATTATTATTCCCAATAATATTTACACTGGATTTTCCTAATTTAGTTCAAATTCCACATTCTTATTTCTTCTAATATCAAATTATTATATTATTCTATGATGTACTTTTTTTTATTCATATGTTAAAGTTGTGTTTAGATATTTGCATTTAAAAGAATGAATGAATTCCCAGCAATTAAATCTTACTTACTTATGCCTGTTACCCCCCAATAGGAGGTTGGGCGGCTGACTAGTGTTGTTCTCAAACCTACTCTCTCCCACGCTTCCCTTTCCAGTTCTGTCTAATTTGTGTTCATTCTTCTCATGTCTCTCTCCGTTCCTCGGTGTAGTGTGTTCATTCATTCAGTCAGTCAGTTGCAACGTAGAACTTCGTACGTAAATACATCAGTTCATGTCGCCATACCGCATCAGCACAGAGATGTGTGTTCATTGGCCCTCCACTTTTCCTTTTGCCTTGAGGGCTCCAAGTGAAGGCTTATCTTGTGACCCAGTTCGGTGCTTTCGGCAGTGTGTCCTATCCACTTCTACCGAAAAATTTAATCTGTTTTTGCTGAAATAAATAACCGATCAAGACAATTTATGAGTCATTAATAGGCATAGAATAAAGTAGATGGATGAATCTAATGAGTAAATAGCACAACTTGATAGTTCGCTGTGCATCAAAGCCTACGAACATAAAACTTAATGAAGATCTAATTTTTTTTTAAAGAAAAAACAAACAGAATTGATCGCATATACGTGTTTTTTGATGTAATTCCAAGTATTATCAATAGTTCAAATGTGTAAAATCAATACAGACACAGTTATCATTAAAAATACATGTGAATTTTTCATGAATAGTGGTTTTGCATTTTCTAAATGTAATCTTAGCCTGCTACTCATAACTAATGCTAATATGTTGTGTTTCATTTATTAACTAACTGTGTATATGAGTTCAGATGATTTTGAATTCATGCTTATTCAACTTCTACCATACTCTCTATTATTGATATCATTATTATTGTCGTCTTCAGTTTGTCAAAAGGATGTTCATTCATTTTTTATGCAAATACCTCTTTTTTTCTCTTTATCACAAAAAAACTCATTATTTTTCATAGCATTGCAAATATCTTCAGGTAGGTTTATTGTTTAAATTGCTGACATCCTCCATTACACTATCTTGTGTGTTTTTTATTGCTCCCTACTTTATTATGATTAATCCCTTATTGAATCTTTTTTCTAAACTAATCATATCATATTCTAAGTTGAATATTGTTCATTTTTATCATTGTCATAATTATAATTTCTTCGGTCTTATGCTTGTCTAATATTAACTGCTGATGTTCCATTGTATGTATAAAATAATTTTAATGTTTGTTTGTGTTAAATGTTGTTACATTTTGATTATTTTCCCAATATTTAACTTGTGAAACAAAATATTCGCCTTTTTTCATTGTTGCGTACAAGATATAGAAAAGGTGGGATGTGGCAATCATAGGCATACAGAACGCGAGTTTTTTTGTTATTTGAATCTAATTAATTGGATGTACCTGCATCCCACTAATTGAAACTTCATCAGTTGAGGTGGTGGGGACATGTGTTACGTATGCCTAACCACCAACTGCCTTGACGAGCTATGTTTTGTGGTATAGGAGTAGGTTGGAAGGAAGCTAGGGGCGGCCAGACCAAAACATGGCAGCAATCCATAAAGTCACTGACTAGTGAACTGAGTCATGTTGGTAGATGTAGGCTATCTGATTGGGGCCCGCGAGACGAAAGTCACCAATGGTTAGAGACCTTGAACGACATGACTCAGAATCGTTTGCAATGGTGCAGGTGCATCCACTCTTTGTGTTCTCTCTAATTCTGACCTTCTGAATTCCTCATAATCTCTATCTTTCACCTTCTAAATTTATCTCACTAAATTATACTTCTCGAATCATATTTTCGAACTATAATCTTCTCCATTACTGCTAATAATTCTACTTTCTCTACGACTATGGGATTTGAACTGACAGTTACGTCTGTGTGCTGATGTGGTATGACAACCTGAACTGATGTACTTATGTACGAAGTTCTGCGTTGTCTCTGTCTGTCTGTCTGTCTGTATCCCGCAGTTGGTTTCCAATCCCAGACCCAAAGCTAGTGCCTTTTATTTCAAACGTCGTTGTGTTATCTACTTAGCAGCTACTGAGTCCAGATAGCCATTTTACTTCTGCAACAAGTACGAGGCCTAATTTTGAGATGGTGGAGAAAATATGTAGCTCAGGTGCATGATTGGGGTGGTGTTTCGTTCTCTAAGCTGAATGTTTTGGTTGTGTACAATGTACAATACTGGATAGAGGGAGGACAAACAACACTAGAGAATTTTTAGAAGCTTGTCATCCAGGTCAATCAGTAATCACATCGACATTGACTCAATTTATTAACCAATCAGAAAAATCATAGGGTCGAGAAACAAAAGGGGGATACAATCAAAACGAAGGTGCAAACAACAACAAGTTTAAGGTCAACAGCAACCAATCAAGATCGAGGTTAGCAGAACAAGCTACAGGTCAAGCGTGGAGAAATTCGAATACTTGACTTCAATCTGAAGTTTGTGCTGATGATGTTGTTCAGAAGAACGACAACCAGCTCAGAGGACGAAACACCACCACAAGCCCTAATTTTATTTGAAATGATATGGATTATACTGTTGATGATATTTTTGCCTGAAATTTGATCAGTCTTGAATATCTTGATGACGTTGCTAGATTCCATTCCCGGTAATTAACATCAGGTACATCCGGCTGACCATTCCCCAATAGAATGAGACGCGTACGCTGTATTCCATTGATAGCTCCAATTTATCAACTCTATGTCAAACTATGTCCTAATGGTTATTTCAAGACAGTCCGCTCAGCATATCCTTATGCTGACCTAGACTAAGCATTTAAGGGCTATTTATTTACTATTCACTTTCTTTTTTTTTTAATTACTCGAAAAAAATGCTGAAATTTTATTATCGTTAAATTCATGTTTAGAAAAGTTTGAATTTACTTTGATTTTTCATTGTTGTACTAGTTCATTTAATTATTTCTAAGTAATGAAACAAACATTTATTTGTATACTATTCGATCAAGAATTATTACTATTCTCTATCAAAGAATGAATTTGTCTTGTCATCTTTCAACAGTTAGTGTACTTGATCATGTTTCTGATTGAAACATTCAACCAGTTATTTATTCTAGCTAAAAAATTTTCACTTTTCCTACATTTCATCAAACTCCTTAGTTTATCTATTACTTTTAAGTAGTAATACTCTATCTCTGTTGTCATATATTTCTCTGTAATAATTTATTCTTTATTGCTTTTATTTATTTATATGTTCATGTTATTGATGAAATGTTGCTGTATTTATTGTATTGTTTGTGTATTTCATTAAATTATGATAAAAATTTACGTAAGTCTCTTCATTATTGCAATGATTGAAAAGAAAGTAAAGAAAAAAAAACCCATTCTGTTGTAAAAAGTATCTTTTTTTAAAATGTGAACGCAAGTTAATTATTTTATTGTTTGTGTTGTTTTATTTTGTTTTAGTTACAGTTCATTTTGTTTTAAATTAGAATGTGATTATTTAAACTTTGAAATGATTCACTGGTCGTCATCGTCATATTAGTAGTAGTAGATGAATGAAAACCTGAATAGGATTGTAATAATTAAATCAGAATTTCACCGATTGACACTACTCTCTTAATACCAAATCGATTTAAGTTCATTACTAATCGGAACGCAATACTGAATATTGAATTAACAATCCAACTCAGTCAGTCAGTTACAACGTAGAATTTCGTATATCAGTACATAAGTTCAGGTTGCCATAACCTCATCAGCAAAGAGATATCACTGTCAGTTCAAATCCCATAGATAGTAGAAGTATTAGCAATAATGGAGAAGATTAGGGTTCGAAGTTATGATTAGAGAAGTATAATTCAGTGAGATAACTTTCGAAAGCGAAGGATAGAAATGACGAAAAATCCAGAAGGTTAGGATTTGAGTAAACACAAAGAGTGGATGCACCTGCACCATTGCAAATGATCTTGAGCCATGTCATTCAAGGTCTTTAACCATCGGTTACTATAGTCTCGCGGACCCCAACCAGGTAGTCTACATCTACCAATATGACTCAGTCAGTGACTTCAAGGATTTCTGTCATGTTTTGGTTTTTAGAAAAGGAAATATAATTAACTGATTAATTAATTCGTTTATAATTCGGGACAAATACACTTTTTTAATGAATGAAGTAACATGTTAGTAAAGTGAAATAATAAAGCCATTGATCGATGATGATGATGATTATGTGTTGTGTCCTATCTATTTTTGCTCAAATTTTTTTCCTCATTCAATCAAAGCTTTTAATTTCATGGTTATTATGATTATACTGCTTTTTCTTTCATCATAAAATTTATTCTGAGAATAATTTTGAGTTGTTATTATTTCCTACGATCGATTGTCAAGCATTATATTGACTACGTTATTGCAGTATATTTCATTATTATATATGTTTATGACATGTATATGTATATATATTATATATATATACATATATATTGTATAATCTATCGAGGAGTATAGTGAAGTATATTCAAAGAGTTTTAATTTTGTTATGCACGTTAATTGATATGCTTGAAACTATTACGATTTCACCTTAGTCCGGTAAACGACAGCTAAAACAAATGATCCAATGACACGAAAGGCTACTCTAATCCGAGCGTCCCACAGCCCTGCTAACGGTATCAAAAAGTCTTGACATGGTGTAGAAAGTGTATTCTACAAGAACCCAGGAAATCAAGGTCTTGTACAGAAGAAGAAGAAGGAGAGGATCCGAAAACTTTACCGAGATTGTATGTTTTTACAGTTGGGTTGACCGTGAATACTAACCAATAGGAAACAACATTTAAAAGTATGTGAACTTGGTAGTTTAGGACGACCTTAAATATCGACCAATAGCAATTGACCAATAGAATTAGGCTTACAATATAATTTCTTTAGGATATTTGATGAATATCTTAACATTTTAAAAAATATTTCTGTTCAAACTGATCTAATGTTAGTATTTATCATTATGAATTTCTATAAATTACTCCTCAAATAGTGGTTAGTTAAATGAATGAAGTTAACTGTTGTTTACTTTGAATTTTTCTCGAAATTTATACTCTTTAACCTTAAAATAATATATATATATATATATATATATATATATATATATATATATAACTTAAGTCAGTTTTGTTGATGATAATTATTACATTTTGAAATGCTAACAGAAAAACCATCTGAATAAATGAATTATTTAAAATATGATTCACTTTTAAAATGGAATAAGTAGATTTAAAATGTACTCATACTTGGCGATCGCAAAATTTAGGATGTGCATTTTATTATTTACTGTGGAATTCGTTGACTAGTTTTATTTGGATTCGAAACTGTTTTTTTCTTTCAGTGACTACTGAACTTATCATATTTATACACATCAACTAATGAGATGTTTGTTACTCACTTTGAGCATGTGAAATCATAAAAATGCAATTATATATTGATACTGAATATAAGCCATGAAGTGCTGTTAGCAAGGAGCAGTAGGCTTGTTCATGATCATATGGAAGTATGTATGACTTGTACGCATTACTGAAAATAAATTTATGACAAGAAGAAAGCTATTTTAAGTTTACAAAAATATAATTAGTGGAATGCAATAAAACAATAGGCATTAAGTTGAATATATAGATTACAAATCCGGGATTAGTTTGGAATATTCTCTAGTGTAATTACTGAAACATCAGTAGTTAACAATTGTCAGTTAACATTAAAAAACAGGTTACAGTAATTTACGATCATAAAAAACTTTTCTCGAAAATGAATACCAAAAGCCCATCCCCTATGATTCTAAATTCCTGCTGAACAATATAGTTCCACTGGTATTCAATTGCCACGTTTCCCTACTGCTTAGATGATCTTAGTGAGAGATTATGATATTCGTCCCTAACCTTGAGTACATTTTAGGTAGCCCTTATAAGATAATCTCAGAATTATTAAATTTTGTTCACGAATTATACTCGTCTCTATTTATTCACTTTTATTAGTTTCTTTTCAGTGCTTATTTTCCAATATCCTATCACCAAGCTGATTATTCCTGTCTTATAGTACAATGATTAAACACTTCAAAGTCTGTTTTGTTTTGCATGATTTTTCATCTTATATTTGATAACAAGGTGGACACTCAGGTACTTTGCTAACGTCAATATTTGTTGAACCGATGTAAATAACTGCTATTTTTTGTGACCGAACAATACTCAAGCACTTTGATGTTAATATATTCTTATTCGATTCGAAAGGTTGATGCTTTATGCCTTTTTCCCGTTTTAGGCCATATATATTAGTAAAATAACTGAAGGTGGAGCAGCTCACAAACAAGGTCAGCTTCGAGTTGGTGATCAAATAATTAGCGTAGGTTTAGTATTTCTCCTGTTTCTTTTGAGATTTTCTATATTTTTAACATACTCCAAGATTTTTTTATGATGTTCTATGTCTTCTGATAAGAACGATATTTGTACCTTCATATACGACCGTGCAAGACTTTCGCTCATGTGGATATACTACTCACTATTTCTAAGTAGTTCAGTATTAACGTGATATTGATTTGCTAAGAAATATTTGACAAATATGTTTGCGATCTCTTTTCATGGATTAACACTGATATTATGATTTTCCAGCTTTGGCTATTAGTTATGGTTGCTGATTTTATCTTTTCGTAACGTATGAATCGATAATTTCACAAACAATTACTGATGGTCAATTTCGTAAAAATACTACTGTGGTGCGAACTACTTATAAGTAGTATATAACGTGAGTGTCAACGTAAAGTCTGGTAGCATAATATGGGGGAAGATCAAGAAAGGAAGAGTTAGAAACAATGGAATTTGTATGGAACGCATGAATAGTGACAATGGATTGATGTTTGGCAACAGGAACAGTCCAGTTCCATAGGATGAACTGATCTTTTGCAAATGAACGATTTACGATATGGTTGTCCGATTTTACTGAGTAACTCTGTAATTTTGGTTAAATACAATTCGGTTGCCCCCACCTGTGTTCTCATTCACTACACTACGAGAAGCTCATTGATTATAGTATCTTTTGGAACTACAGCAAATGCCTATAGCGAGACCTTTTATGAGAACACATTTTTTGAATAGTGTTCCTTAATTTTTATATTTTTTAGATAAATGGTGTCGATATCAGAAATGCTCGTCATGATGAAGCTATTTCCTTGTTAACAAGCTCTAATGATTCCGTAAACTTGCAATTACTTCGTTATAATCCTGACGAAAACAATCATCTCAGTAATCTTCCAAAAACATGTAAGTGTGTTTCAAAATTTATCTTCTTGGTGTTATGAGAGAAACTATACCAAGTATTGCGAATAAACTAGTTACTGATTTCCAATAAGGTCAACACTTTCTTGAAGAGCTACTATTTCTGTGCTAGTATGAGGATTACGATCTTTTGATGTTCTTTGAAATATCAAGTCTTATACCGAGAGGTTACGTCAAAGGTGCTAAAAATAAAGTTCTAGATAGTGTTGTTGGAATATCTCTGGTATTTCGGTCTCTCGTGGAGAGTGGGATTCAATCTTTAACATTTTAAACTACGTTTCCAGTCGTTGGAAGAAGATAACAGAGTGTGAGTCAGTTGTTTTCTTACTGTATGTTGGGGATGCTAGATCCCCAGAACTCATTTGATAAAGGTCCTAATTTTGGATTTTATTCATGGGCTGATCATTTGACTTGAGATTGCATTTCCCACCATGAAAATCCTTGACTGTTATTGGTTAATGTGTTATTTTAGTACGCTATTTTTGTGGCTCTTCCAAGGACGTTTCTGTGATGTATAAATAAACGCGATTTGTATATATATTTTCTGGGTGCCTTTAGAATACACTTTCTACGCCTTATCAAGACTTTTTCTTCAGTTAGTTGGGGCAACGATCAGAGTAGCCTAATTTGTCACTGGTTAATTGTCTCGTTCTCGTTTGTCGACTAGGGTGAACTCGTAATAGTTTCAAGCATATCAATCTGACGAGCATAACATTGTTTTGCTCCAAAATTACCTTGAAAATTCGCAAATCGAATAAACCTAATACAGGAAAATTGGAATATACTATAATATTTTACACTGAGAATTCTTTATTCCTACCTCACATTGTATATTGTATAAATTTTTATTACTCTCAATAAATATTGGAAAATGCCTGAGGTAGTTCTGTAAATAAATGTAAGATGTATTTCCTACACATTCAGGATTCTTAGATTCTTCAAAATAAAATAGTCTTCATTTAGTTACTATGACTTGGAATTACCCTTAGTTATATTTGTATTGAAAGAGGTATATTTTTTTCCAATGATTGTAGTATATTTATTATTTTGAAAAATGAAATATTGACAAGATTCAAAGCGTGCATGAATTGTTCCGTTTTCGTTATTCTACATTTCATTTGATTTTTTTTAAATTTCCAAGATTTGGTGATTTTCTTTCTAATTTTTTTAGCAGCGGCTAATGGTTTTGTCACATCATCATCATCGGTTGTGACAGTTCAAAGGTTAAATAATTTTCAAGATACTACAAAAGCTGCCGATTCGACTAATACAGACAGCCTTATTTCGGAAAAATATGATTCCCCAGTCTATCTATATAGTGAAAAATGTATTCCTGTCGAGAGAATTACAATTCGCAATCATGGTGGACCTTTAGGTTTAGCTATCTGTGGAGGATCTGATATCAGTTGTCTTCCATTTGGTAATACAGAACCAGGTATTTTTATATCTAAGGTAAATAGTCAATTGTTTGAAAATGAATTTCACTTTAATGTTGCATGTTGATTATCAACGAATTTATTTCTATTACGAATAATGATGATTTCAAATGTGTAAAAACACAAAACCTCCCAAACTCTGCCCGAAAATATCGTAACAGTGCTTACCAGTGACTAGCTTCGTGAGGAAATTCTCGGAGTTCTAGTTGAGAAGATGTGACCAATGGAGCTCAACCCTGTCGGGTGTAGGCAGTAACTACCAAAGACAAATGTGTGAGGTCGCGCAAAATCCGTAGATCAATCAGAGTTAAACATTAACACCGTTGGATGCCGGCCCAGTGGTCCGATGGTTAGGCGTTCGCGCATAATGCCGAAGGTCCTGGGTTCGAATCCTGCGAGATGCAGGAGTCGTGGATGCGCACTGCTGATGAGTCATATACCGGGACGAAACGGCCCTTCAGTGCTTCCAGGTTTCTAATAGTGGTCTAAGAATGATTGATTGATGATTTCAAATGTGTAAAAACTCAAACCTCCAAAACTCTGCCTGGAAATAAACTTAGAGTATTTATTGAGTTATATTGCGAAGACATAACTGATAATCTTTTTTTCTTCAATATACCTATGGAGAGGTGTTTGGTCTAATAAATTGGACAATGATTACTAACTAGTGTTTAATAGATATAAGAACCTGATATCATATGCTTATGATCCCCAATCAAGTTCAGGTACCACGCCACATCCGTAACGCTTTCGGACACTGACTGTTTAGAGAAAAAAACACTGTACGTAGAGAAATAAATCTAGTGGACTTTGTGTATTGCGATACTGAATAATTTTTTTTCGTTTTCATCGATCATCATGTCCTTAGACAAATATCACGCAGTGCATCTGCGCAACCAACATTGAACCATGAACTGTAAACAATCTACTTGGGCAGCATTGTTTAAATCTTTTATTTTATCCAAACTTACACAAATGAAATTTTATGGAAACTACGGTTGAACAATCAAAAATTCTTTTGACTGTAGGAAACTTACGTGCGAAGTTCTGCGTTGTATCTGTCTGTGTCTGACTGTAGGAAAGCTGATTAGACAGTAGTGTATATTTGAGTATCACATCAAAGAAATCTATTTATACTCCTCAATTTCCTAAACCCTTTTTTGATCTTTATAGATCTCTCCAGATGGCGCAGCTCTTCATACTGGCTTACGTATCGGAGATAGAGTGCTTAAAGTTAATGGAGTCGATTTGCGACACGCTACACATGATGAAGCAGTACAAGCTTTAATCCAACCTGTTAAAGAATTACAACTAGATGTACGTAGAGACCCTCCTCCACCAGGATTAAGAGTAAGTTAAATTCAGATTCTTGGTGTGTATCAAGTTTACATCCGAATATTTTCTCATTTTAATGCGGCATCTTTTTATCACTTCAGCGTATCACTGTTACCAAACGACCTGGAGAACGATATGGATTACGTGTTTCAGGCGGACTTAACACCGGTGAAAGTAGTGTGAAAACTAATCTAAGATCACACTTTTCATCATTAGCAAATGATGACGGAATATTTGTGACATGGATCTCACCAGATGGTGTCATTGCTCGAGATGGCAGGTTGAAACCAGGCGATAGATTATTGGAGGTTAATGGACACTGGCTGATGGGACTCAATCTTGATGAAGTTTTACATGTAAGAATTATTCCAATTTATCATTATTCTAAATTAACCAGTGTTTTCGTGAAAGAATATAATAACAATCAACCTTTTAAAATTAATGACGGATGCTACAATTTTCAGAAGCACCGTCTTACCTGTTTTGTTACATTAGGTCATGTTCATTACCTTTCAGATAATAGTAGGAATGTAGTAAAATTAGTTCTTTTGAATAATTTCAATTATAAGGTATTATCTGATAACACTAATTTGCTAAGCACATGCACTGATATATATGCATAATAGATTCCGCAGTAATCTTACATAAAAATGATCTGCTGGTTCATGAAATTCGTGACTCTCTTAATTAAGCGACTATAACTATTGTATTATTACGGAATTACAACGTAATAAAATACCATTACTAACTGCAGTAGACGCTGTACCCGAAAATATCAATATCCCAAATCCTGAAACCTGCATAATTAGTTCAGAATCTCATCTTTCTGAGCTTCATCTCAATACATAGTGATTAGGCACAGTTAGTCACCTAATCAACAACAATAACAACATAGAACATGGTACGTACATGCATCATTTCAGGTTACCATACCACATTAGCAAAGGGAGATGGAATTGTCTGTTCAAATGTCATAGGACTAGACGTAGTAGAAATGTTAGCGGTAATGGAAAAGATTAGGGATCGAAAATATGATTCATGAAGTATAACTCAGTGAACTAAATTTGGACAAAAACGGCGATAAGGAATTCAGAAGATTAAAGTTTCAAAGATAAAGAATGGATGCACCTGAACCATTGCAAACGATGATCAGTCTTCAGCCACCGGTTAATACTCTCTCGCAGACCCCAACACGGTAGTCTGCTCCAACTAACATGGATCAGTCCATTTGTCAATTACTTCATGGATTTGTGCCATGCTTTGATGAGGCCTCAACCTAGATTTCATCCAGCCTACTCCGACAATCAGGCAACATCGCTCTTCTTAGAATGCCTCTCGACTGTCCAACCTTATTAAATATAGGAGGGCTTACATCGATTTGCCAGTCAGGTTGACTGGAGATCGTGAGTACCTGAAGTGTCTGGAGGCCAGTTGAATTGATCCTTGAAGTGCTCTGCCCATCAATCCAATCGTCTGAATTGAGAGTCAATAATAGTCCTATCTTGTTCCCGAACAGTCTCACTAACAGTCGAATACCTGATTCCGTTTTCCTTGATAAGTGTGAATCGATATCCACTGTTACCTATCGCTGCCGTTTTTGCCATCTTTTGTTTTTGCTAATCACCACTGTTCGCGATCATTGCATGCGCTGCTTATCAGCCATCGTCTAAGCTGACTTCACTCCTCATCATGTTCAGAGCCAGACGAGATGTGTCTCCGAGTACCTATCAGTTCAGAGGATGCTACTGAAACCCACTGTTTCTCTCTAAACTTCTGGTTTACCTTACTGGAAGATATCACTGCTGTTTCCACAGCTTTTTTGTTATCAATCCAAACTGCCTCGGGGCGGAAATCACTTACATGGCTGTCCAACTGTTTTCCTAGTTGTTCCTGAATGATACTCTTGGCTATACTATCGTTAAGTGGAACTCTGAGGGGTTTCCTTGCATGTCTTTCTTGCATCCAGTAATCCGCAGACAAATCTGTGCTTGTAGTGGTCCATGGTCCGGGTCTAAAAATGTGTTCCAGTCAGTCAGTCAGTTGCAACGTAGAACTTGGTACGTAAGTACATCAGTTCATGTCGCCATACCACATCAGCACAGAGATATAATTGTCAATTCAAATCCAATAGTAGTAGAGGTAGTAAAGGTATTAGAAGTAATCGGAGAGGTTAGAATTAGAAGATATTATTCACGAAGTATGATTCAATGAGATAAGTTTGGAAAGTAAAAACTAGAGGTGTTGAAGAACCCAGAAGATTAGGATTTGAGAGAACACAAAGAATAAATGCACCGGCGCCATTGCGAACGATTTTGAGCCATGTCATTCAAGGTCTCTAGCCATCGATTATTATCATCTCGCGGGCCCCAACCAGGTAGTCGACAATTACCGACATGGCTAAGTCCACTCGTCAATGACTTCATGGATTTATGCCATGTTTTGGTCTGGCCGCCCCTAGCTTTCTTCCAACCTATTCCTACACTACAAAACAAAGCTCGACGAGGGAGTCGCTGGTTAGGCATACGCAACACGTGTCCCAACCACCTCCAGAACGAGCGTCAGTCTTCTAGCGAGCCTCTCCATCGGTATCTGATAGTAATGCAGTCTATTTGTGTCCAGCGTTGAGTTGACTTTGGGGATCAGCATGTCAAAAGAATTACACTCAATAGGAGCAGAGACAGACATTTTCGACCGTCCCTTTGATTTATTACTGTCCAGTTTAGTCGGGGAACACCTTGAACCCCTCTAAGGCTTCTGCCGGTCCTAAGCCCGATTAAAGGAGGAGCTCAGAAAACGAAACACAATGGTGGAGGCGTGTTGATGATTGGGTTGGCGACCCCATCCCACAAAAAAAACTTGCTAAAAAAACGCTAACCAGAAAACAACTCAAACCATTTTAACTCTGCTCTGGGAATTATAAGGTCTCTTCCTTTCAGAAGAATTATGATGTCTCATGACGAAAGCCGAGTTCCCTCACAAGGCCGATGCCTCTTCCGACAACCAGAGCGACCAATCTTTTAGGTACACGGAAAGTTCGAACATTGTGGGAGACTGGAAGACTATTTCAAGTTGCGGCAGAAATGAAAAGATACAACCTTGAGGTGCTTGGAATCAATGAAACGCATTGGACGCAGGTAGGACAACTGAGACTAGCTTCAGAGGAACTGATGTTATACTCCGGCCAAGAATAAGAGGAAAATGCTTCACATACACAAGGAGTTGCACTGATGCTGTCCAAACAAGCGCAAAAGGCACTGATAGGATCAGAATCTCATGGACCGAGGATCAAAGCATCCTTGGAAATAAAAAAGAGGTCATTACAGTGACTTTCAACCAAGAGAGGAATTGATACAATCTAGCTGCTAAAGCTCGACCACTATCCTCAAACGTGTTAGGGGTAAGCCTATCAGAACCTGTCGCTCTACCTCACTTTAGATTTCCTATGGCTTTCTCTAGGAGGACTTATATCGATGGGCCATTCAGGATGGTTGGAGATCGTGTGTAACCGACGTGTGGCTGGAGGCCAGTTGAACTGATCCCTGAAGTGTTCTGCCTATCGATCCAACTTCCTGGATTGAGAATGAGTAATAGCCCCATCCTTTTCCGAGATTCGAATTGACAATTACATTTGTGCTGTGGTATGGCAACATGAACTGATGTACTTACATACGACGTTTCGGGAACTCGCATCGTGGAGATAAGAGAGATATTAGTGGGTGTAGGAAGGATTTGATTATGACAGATTTGGTCTCGCTTGCTGTTACGGGTATGAGGGCGGTTGTCACTTCCCGGCTGCCCACACCGTGGAAGTTTGTTTCTTGAGGAACCTAAAAAAGAGGGTAGATTAGTGTCGGTCTTAGAGACCTGGAAGCGTGACCGCACAGCCCAAGGGACAGCTGCTTCAGGCCGGTCACACAGCCTTCTTATGAAAGGTTATTTGAGTATTAGCTCCGCTCTTAAGAGCCCTTAGTGGTCACCCTTACCGCCGGAGACTGAAATCCGTGGGGTAGGGTGAGGTGACATTTTTATGATCGACCTTTTCTAACCCTTCCTTCTTTGTGAGAAGGCAGCGTCGCCGTAGCTGCTGGTTGTCCGAGGGAAATACCTTACTGCTGTCACACCCCTCTGCAGTCAGCAGTACGACTTCGCCCTCAGACCTTGGGTAGCTGCTTTTAGTCTCATCGTTCTCCAATCGACCTGTCAGTCATGGTAGGACATTCAGGAATATATGTCCCAGCAAATATACCTCGGTTGGATCATCGCGATAGGCAAGCGCGACCACCACGTCAGGGTAACAGGGGCCAGTTGAGGAAGTCAGGGAGAAGCAAGGGAATTCGATGGGATATATATCGCGGAAAGCACCGAACTGCGTAACAAGAATCGGAAACCTCAAAGTCAAAGGAAAAATGGTATGCCATGGAAAACATTACGCCGAGAAATTGAGACCATCATGAGAATAATTAACAAAAGGCGGATAGAACTGTAAATGAAAGCACCGGACAGAGTAGGCTCGAGATTACGGCCGGCGGCCTATGCCCCACTAGGGGGGACAGGTGTAAGTAGGATTAAATTGTTGTCAGTTAACCTTGTTTCTTAACTCTGACGAGTTCAGGTCAAGTGAATGGTTGTTTTTGTATTCTGTTTGCGCGTTTCGGGTACGGAATTCTATGAGTTTGGATGAGGAATTACACTTTTAAGGGCAGCATTACTGCAGATGCTCGTTGCCCGAGTGAAACACTCTACAACCAGCTGTATGATTCGCCGTTGCTGCTCTTAGTCTTACCGTTTTCCACTTGATCTGTCTGGCATGGTAGGACGTAGTATCTAAAGGAGATCATATGTTTCAGTCAACATAGCTTGTCTGTCATCACCATAGGCAAAACCAACTCTCCGTCTAGGTGGAAACCTTAGTTCATAGCGTGAGGTCAAATCATACCAAAGTAGCACTAAATTCCACCATAACCTTGTCCGTTTTGATGAAGTCCTAATAAATCAGGCTATGCATACATACCACGAATTATCAGTGATCTGACTGTGTGAGTTCCTAAGGCACTAGCATAATGCAGCAATTCAGAGAATAAATAACTATTTAACACGGCCTCAAACCAAAGCAATGCTAGATACAGCAGCATACAACAAGTTTAACCATACTAATACAGTTTCACAATAAGTTTGAAATTATCACGTTAGCGATATTTATTCTCTTTTATCTAAAACGGGATTGCACATTATTTTTGACAGATATTTTGGGAAGCCAAATCAACTCTTTCATGTGTTGTATGCGATGGTCCAGTCGAATTCACTTTGCAAATTAATAAAACACATCTCTCAAAGAACGTCGAACTACCTACATATTCTCCTTCTATGCCATTTTCTATAATACGCTCTACAATGCCAGAAATCGCTGGTGCATCTGTCGACGATGACCCCATTTGTAACTCACAATCAGAGAAAGTAAACAGCATTCAAAGATTGAATTCAGTAAGTAAGAGTGTTCAGTTTCTTTGTTTCAATTTAAATCAACATTGATTGATTTAAAGATCATTTTTGTCACGGTCTGATATAATGAGTTTGATTAGAGGTCAGGTAAAACTAACCAATTACTCTATCATACCTTGGAAGTTCACCTGCAGTTACCCATAAATCGTTAACAGGACTTGCTGTTTCTGCAAAAAAAGAATTACCCAGGTCTAGTTATAGTTGGTTTTTTAAAAGTAACCTGACTGGTTAACCTGAACCCATGTTGGATACAATTAAGTTAGGTTGAGTGGGTTTCCATGTACTATGACTATCATTTGAATACGGTAGTTTATTAATATAAAAGTGTTAATCTCTGTATTTCAGGAGGCTGCTGTACGTCACTAGCGTCGACTGGATTGAACATTGAACACTACACAACCGCTTGTGGTACTACTTGGACTACAGTCGGGATTTGTTTCTGTCCTGCTTCACTACCTTCACCTAGACTTTGAACAAATCTTCTAAATGACAGTAATTTCCTTACGCTTGTAATCTTGTTTACTGTAAAGTGTTGTACAGCGCCTTAATAATTTTTATCCCTTTCCCAATGTAAGGACAGTTATTGATTTCCAAGCAATCAGAAGCGCATACCTTCCTGCGCCCATGTACTTTTTTATGCTTGAATTTCAAGAATACTCAAAGCTTGTTTAAATATTCTTAACTTCAGTATTTTCTTATTATTTTATTGAACTAGGCAATTTGTCCAAAAAGAGCAGAAAACATCAGTTAAACTCTAATAAGGTCTAAGAAAGTGTTCAACTGTACAATCACTTACAAAAGAACTTTTGATTATTAATTCACAATAGATTAAAGAGTAATAAGAAAATAGAATAAGGATTAATAGCCGGTTTGAGGATAATAAACAGTATAAGGTCACGGTTCAAGTATAATGCGAATTGGATGTCCAGTTATCGAGACTTGGAAAGTACAGTGTTAGAACAGCCACCATGAAGCTGGACAGGTTCTTGGCTCAATGAGCAGGATCCAGAAAAACCAACATTATCACACGGGTAAAGTATGTAACAGAAGTTTGGATTATCTACAATACATCATCTACGAAAGACAGATTAGGCAGATGTTTTCGCACTTCAATTGCGTCCATTAGCTCTTGTAATGATGTTTGTCTAAGATAAAGAAAAAGCATACACTGCATTTCATTTAACGAATTAACAAGCCGTTTCATAACGAAGAATATAGCGGGATGAAAACTTTCGTTTATATGTAACATAAATAGACATATTCAACCTAATTCTAAATGGTCATCATTGATTGAAGTACATAAGGATATTAATGCTTTTTATTACCCAAACTAGTGACATATATATATATATATATATATATATATATATATATATATGCATGCTGGTGTAAGTGACAATTAATTATTCACATTTTATAAATTTATCTAATGAACGTCTTGAATTCTCAGCAGTTCATCGTATGAAATTACTCGATTAGCACCAAATAGTTTTCTTAGAATGTAGAAAACCACGCTTAATAGAAGTTCAAGAAAACTAGTATTTTTCTTTTGTTGCTTAACTCTTTGCTTGTTTATTATTTACAGAAAAACTCAATAACTCAGGACGATTGATACCTATAGAAATCATCTTAGTTTATAGTGTCGATTGTTTTTTTAAAAAGCGATTTTTGTTAACAGCGATAGTCTTGAAACTTTGGTTAACATGCAAACTCCTAGGTCAGAATATTTAGATAACAAGGCCGGTAGTGTATTGCTTTGATAAACAGTTTTAATGAGCTGAGATAGAACCATTAGCTTATTGCAGTTGAATTCTAATTGATAGTAGAGTGAACGCTACATCGCCTAATAAGGACAAATCGCTTTATCGACTTCTCGAAATACTAAACAAAATTCCCAATTTGATGTTGATATTAAAACAAAACTGAAGAAAACTAATCACAGAACTAAGTACCTTTCCACACTTACTTCTCTCTGTGAATTGCAAGTTTTGCTTCACTTATTCGTACTAACGCTCGCAATTTTTTAGATTCAGCTGATAGTTCACCATAGAGAACGCTTTGTAATCGATCGAAATTTTTCGATTCGATTTGAGCCTAAAAACGAAAATACCAAATTGAATGACGGAAACTACGTCATAAATGAAGGAAATATGGACGACAATCTTATTAGAGCTCAACTTACTTCTTGTTCAAGACGTTGTAAAGCATCGTCTTGATATCTAGAAATAAACACAGGATCGAAAAACGACTTCATTTCGAAGCTATTCAGAGTATCTATAATTTTTTCTAAGCTGGAACTATTTTCTGATAGCGTAGCAGGTGAGGACCCTTTTTTATTTGTGACATCAACCGCCATGGTGGTAGAATGACTTGAATGGACTGATGGCGAAACAGAAGTAGGACTGGTTAAATTTGTAATCTCCTTTCTGTCGACAATATCCGATGTATCTTCAACGGTATTGGCGGAATTGCTAACATTAGAAAAATTACAAGCAGATACAGGAGACGCCGATGCATCAAGCCCGGAATTGCCTTTATTGAACAGCAATGAATCGGTAGTCAACCGGTTGTTGGCACATGTGCGCGACCTGCTTATTGAAATTAAAGGAGAAAAAAATCATACAAGATGCAATGTACAATATTCACACTTAGATTGCAAATAAAAATCTCGACCGAAAATGGTTGAGTACAACAAACAAAAAAAAACGAATGACCTAGTCCAATTCAAAGCTCCATTGCAACCGCGTAGGCAAAAAAGCTGCTGCGAAAAACGAGTATATGAAATAGTAACTATCCAGAGCTATAGTAAATAAGTTTCCCAAGTTAATGAAACACAAAGATATTCAAACCATCTATCTAAAAAATACCCAATATATGTAGAGCTACAAATTCAAAAAAAATTGAGTTATGTGTTGAGCATATCACCCCAAGACTTACGCGATGCTGTTAAGCGATCTAAAAGATTATCACATTCCTTAAGAATTAATGTAAGCTATGTAGAGAGATGTAAAGGAGTAAAGTTGCTCTTTCTGCTGGTTTTATGGGCTTTTAACAACTTTACGTTCGACAGTTTACTCCGGTAAATCACAAGTTTAACGAGACTCCATGAAATAAAACAACCCGCTTATAGGAGCATGTTGACGAGTGTGAAGCTCTAACCCAATCTGATAACTCCCCGGGGGGAAAGTCTAAACAAGCTAATATGTCAGTCAAACAGTTTGTGGAGTTGATAACTATAAACCTTTAATCATATCTTGAACCTTAGATACAGCACATTGAAAGACAGGTCAACTAGACTGTTGCTTTACCAAAATCGGTTAAACTTATATTCTCCTCGACCAGTGACTAAGTCTACTTAAGTGGAGATCCCTAAGCGTAGTTTATTAAAATTCAATGGATACCCTATGGTAGTTTTTCTCTTCACTCATCATTAAAGTACGATGAACTTTCTCAGATACGATAAACCTAACTATTTCTTGGTGAATAATATTCTTGCCTATGCATTTGACTGTACAACACCTTTCCTATCCATGTGTTAAACTATTATAGTAGAATATGTTTATGCTAAAAATAAGAAATGTTTACGCCGATAGCATGCATAATTGTCTTACTGGCAAAATATATATGTTTAAGAAAATTTAGATAATAAATTATTTCGTAATGATAAGTTAGCCACCACTCAGAGTAAGTCATTGTTTACTCCATATTTGGCAGAAGTGAAGACTAATAAGACTTACTTTAAAGTGGCTTGTGTTTTACGTCGTGAGTTATTGCTGGTGGATGAAGGCTATTGTTATTGTCAGAATGCCTGTACAGGAAGTATGTAGTGGACTATTAGAAATTCCCTAAACCAGCTAAGAAAGTTTAAGTAGGGAAAATAATAATGATCAGGTTAATACTGACATTCATTATATTACATACGGTCATGGAAGTGTTAACACTTTCTAACTAAAGAGGACTTACCCGCTCTGTAATGAAACGGTGGGGCTATCATGAGTTGTTGTAGAGGAGACATTATCTTTGTTCTCAAGACCTACGGGAAGGGAAAAAATATTTATGAAGTCAGTGTACTGCTAAACGTGTATATAGAATATGATATATATTCGACTATTTGTCACAAATATTAAAACTGAAAATACATCATTAGTATATTGACTGTTAAGAGAAGCCAGTCTTAATGTCAATATTGGCTACACTGTTTATAAACAAGAGAACAATAAGTCCATTAGTGAAAAATGCAGCTTAAAAAAATAACAACATGAATGGGGATTACAGAAACAAACGACCTGTTCATAACGTTAATAGACCACTATGATCGCAACTAATAAAAATTAGGAATATTAATTCTCGTCAGCTCCAAAGACGGAGAGGGAATACAACTGTAACCGACTTAAGAAAATTGGAATGAATAAATCAATGCGATACTAAATCGTTTAAAATATATGAGTACAGTAAACGATTGAGTCAGTAAAGTACAACGTAATGTACATCAGTCCAAGTTGTTATACCACATTAGCATACATATCATCAAATTGTCAATTAAAATCCAATAGGATTAGAGGTAGTAGTATTATCGGTAATGGAAAAGACGAGTTCAAAAGTGTGATCCGAGAAGCCTATCCCCGTGGGAAGAATTTAAAAACAGATAATCATGATGAATTCAGAGGATCAAAATTTGGGAGAATATGAAGAATGGATAATCCTGAACCATTTCAAACGATTTTGAGCCATATTATTCAAAGTATATAACCCCTGGTAACGGTTGTCTTGCAGAACCCATTTAGTAGTCCATTCCTATTAACATGGAACAGGGAATTGCCAGTGACTCCATGGATTTGTGCCATGTTCTGGTTTACCCATCTCTAGCTTCCTTCCAGACAACATCGCCCATCAAGGAAGTCGCTGGTTAGACATCCGTAACACATGTCCCAACCACCTCAAGTGATAAGCATTGACAACTTCAATTGATTTTCCATCTCTACCTAGTACCCTTTTCCTGACCCAGGCATTGCATGCTCGATGGTACCAGGATACACAAGCAATACATAAAAAACACCTATGATTGAATACTAGTAACCTACGAACATCTACTCTGACAGGCCATGTTTCGCATCCGTATAGTAAGACGGGGCGAACCGCTGAGCAGTACACTCGTCTTTTGGCTAGCAGAGTGATATATCGCCTACAACATACACGACGCAAGTTAGCAGAAGCCAATCGAGCCTTATGTATCCGTCTCATCAGCACTGATGAGACTCCCCAGATAAGTGAAGAGGTCTACACATTCGATCACTTCACTCCCTATCACTAGTTCAGGTACCGATGCAAACCAATCTTGAAGCAACGTTTTGCATTTCGAGGGGGAAAAGCGCATCACGAACATGCTTGCTTTGTTGTCTAGGGTGGTGAAAAGACTGTATTTTGTCAACGTCTTCACCAAACAGAATGTCACCGGCATACTCTAAGTCAACAAGTGAATCTCCTGGTAGAGGATCGACCCCTGAGAACTTAGATGGTGAACGTGATAACTCTGAATGACAGTGACAAGGTTAGACAATAATGGAGAAAGTGGACTACTGGGACAAACATCACCTAAAGTAATCAATTCTGACGAAAGTTCGCTCTGACTCGATCAGCGGTTTTTGAGTAGACTCGGTACAATGTTGATGTACTTTTTTGGTACAACTTTTATTGACAGACTACCACAGAAACAAGCGGGTTGTGCAAAGAATATGCGACTTAGTCACAGAGAAACCTAGGCTAAAAAAGCGCTAACTGGAAAGAATTATTTGGACTCTGCCTTTGGAATCAAAATGTCTCTATTCGGAAGTTATGACGCCTCATGGGGATATTCTAGGTTTTTCAAATACCACGAGACTGACCCCCAATATGAGAACCGGAACAACAACAGATATAGGCACATAGAATGTTCGTACAATAAGGGAGACCAGGAAGACTATCCAAATAGCTGTGGAAATGAAAAGATACAGTCTGGAAGTACTGAGAATAAGTGCAGGTCATTGGACATAGTCTGGACAGAACGGATTAAATTCAGCAGGAATGTTCTATTATGGTTATGAAGCAGGAATCGCCTCGCAGACACAAGGATTGGCACTGGTGCTGCCCAAAGAAGGCTAAAATCACTTATGAAATGGGAATTTCACGGATTAAGGGTCATCACAGCACCCTGTAAAACATGAAAAAGAGGATTACTATGAGTATTATTCAGTTCTATGCGCCCGCCAATAATAACATTGAGGATGTTAAAGGTCAATTCTATGAGGACGCAGTCAATCGTCGAGAAATGTAAAACAAAGGATTCGACTATTCTGATGAGACCTAGATGCCAAAATCGGAGTGGAGAACGCCAAGTATGATGATGTCATTGGGCGACATGAACTGGGAGGAAGGAACGAAAAAGGTGAAAGATTCGCAAATCTATATGCCTTCAACTAAATAGTTATAGGCTGCACCATATTCTCACACACGCCAAAGGGGTTTCACCGGATCGCACTACCAAGAACGAACAAGAGCAGGGAAAGCCAAACAACAGACTTAATGCACAGAAGCAAATAAACAGGTGATGAGGTGCGTTAGAGCTGGGAGGTGGATATTCATAAGGGAGGAAGCAGAATCTGGAATACAACACTGTGAAAAACATCTAAATGACTTGAGATGGGGAAGCTCTGGAAAAGATAGAAAATTTTTGCGTGTCTGGGTAGTATCAATGATAAACAATTCGGATCTAAAGACACGGATCGGTAAAGCAAGGTGAGAAGAATATCTAGGACTCAGAACAAAATTAACACCAAAGTCAGGATTTCCAACACTAATATTAAGACAGTTCGACTATACATAACTAAAACTTGAAAAATTACCACTACAATCAACATAGCAAATATCTGATCAGAAGTTTTTCTATGAACACAAACGTGGTAATGCAAGAATGGCAACAAACCTAGACAAAAATCAACATGAATTTTACATGCGTATGTAGATAACTTACAGCCATGAAACAGCTGATAACGTAAGATTATTTACATATCTTATTACTGAGGCTAAACTCGCACGATTGCAGGTTATGCAACGTAACACGAACAGATACAAAGTTTAGCCAACTGTTATAATTCTCTCTTATTAAAACCCAGCTACTCCTAATGCTTAGTATTCTCGGACGCCAATTCACTCGGGACGTTCACCCAAAAGCAGAATACGGTTGAACAGGAGACAAATTATGTTCCAATAACAAGGTTAGAAGGGAGACAAAAAGCTCAAAACGTCAGGATATTTATAGTTGTCTTGCATAAGAGGATTCCAGAAAGTTTCCTCAGTATCGGCTAGCGCCTATTGGATACGAAAGAGCCAATCACCGTGCAGCAACGCTATCATGCTTTAATACAATCAATGTCCCGATAACACCAACTGACAAATGATTTTTATACCTGGTTCCTAGTGATGGTAGACATTTGTTAGTATACGATAAAACAAAAGGTTGATTACATATCCCAGTTATCTACGCACATTCAGATAATTCACAGTAACCGAATTAAAATTCAGTTGACCAAGAATGCTTATAAAAAAATATTTATTCAAACTTACCCTTTTTACTGACAAGATCTGAAGAATCTAAGTGTGAACAAGCATTGAGACGGTTATTCGACTGTACGGGCGTTGTGCAATCTCCTGAAATATGGTTTGAAGTATGGTGATGCAGAGCTGCTTTCAGAACCTGTACAAGATCATTTAGCTGAGTATGTTGTGACCGAGTGTGAGGATTTATGGAGTCTTTGTTCACTAAAATGTATAATATGAAAAACGAAATAAGTCAGCCAAACAAGTGGAAGTGAAACCCTGAAACTGATACCTTGACAAGGTGATCTGGTTTATCTATCGTGATGACACAAACAAGCTATGTTGACTGAAACATATGATCTCCTTTCGGTCCAACCATGCCAGACAGTAAGACTAAAAGCAGAAACGGCGAAATCATACTGTTGATTGTAGAGAGGGGTGACAAAAGTAGTGTTTCACTCGGACAACCACCGTCTGCAGTGATGCTGCACTCTCACAATAGATGGAAGAGGTTAGAAATGGTCAACCCTAAAAAATGTAATGCCTCATCTAAACACATGGAATTCCACACCCGAAACGCCTTAGAGGTGCTCAAGGTGTTCCCCGACTAAACTGGACAGTAATAAATCAAAGGGACGGTCGAAAAAGTCTGTCTCCGATCCTACTGAGTGTAATTCTTTTGACATGCTGATCCCCAAAGTCAACTCAACGCTGGACACAAATAGACTGCATTACTATCAGATACCGATGGAGAGGCTCGCTAGAAGACTGACGCTCGTTCTGGAGCACATGTTTAGACCCGGACCATGGACCACTACAAGCACAGATTTGTCTGCGGATTACTGGATGCAAGAAAGACATGCAAGGAAACCCCTCAGAGTTCCACTTAACGATAGTATAGCCAAGAGTATCATTCAGGAACAACTAGGAAAACAGTTAGACAGCCATGTAAGTGATTTCCACCCCGAGGCAGCTTGGAATGTTATCAAAAAAGCTGTGGAAACAGCAGTGATATCTTCCAGTAAGGTAAACCAGAAGGCTATGGACAAACAGTGGACTTTAGAAGCACCTACTGAACTGAGAGGTGGTCGGAGACTCATCTCATCTGGCTTTGAACATGACGGGGAATGGAGGGAGCATAGGCGCCGGGTGATAAAAAGACTACGCAATGATCGCGAACAGTGGTGAGTAGCGAAAACAACAGAGATGGTAAAAGCGGCGGTGATAGGTAACAGTAGACAAGTGTTTAGACCTACCAAGGAAACTGCTACTAGGAATCCATCTGTTAGCGAAACTAACTCAGAAAAGGATAGTCATATCATTCATTCTTAACAGAGGAAATGGGATCGATGAGCAAAACACTTTAGGGGTCAGTTCAACTGGCCTTCAGACACATTTCAGTAACACACGATCTCCAGTCAACATGAATGGCAAATCGATGTAAGTCCTACAACTGTTAATGAAGTTGAAAAAGCTATAGGATATCTTAAGCGAGGGAGAGCAGCAGGCCATGACAGGCTTACCTCGGAGAATTTTAGGAATGGTGGTCCAGTTTTAACAGTCAGATTGACTGATTTCTTAGCTAGAATCTAGGAACTAGACGTAATCTCAATTTACAGGCCCCAACCGCTGATAGTCTCAGACAGCCAGATTCAACAAAGAACTTCGTACGTATGTACATCAGTTCATGTTACCATACCATATTAGCACAGAGACGAAAATGTCAAATCAAATCCCATAGTGATAAAGATAGTAGAGGTATTAATGGTAATGAAGAAGACCAGGGTTCGAAGATACTATTCAAGAAGTATAATTCAGTGAGATAAGGTTAGAAAGACAAAGGTAGAGGTGATGACGAATCCAGAAGATTAGGATTTGAGAGAGCTCAAAGAATGGATGCACTTTCTGTATCCGTGCTCAGTTACCAGGCTACCAGCGATGATGAGACTCCCCTATCACTAGTTCAGGTGCCGACGCAACCCAGTCTTGAAGCAACATTTTGCATTTCGAGGGGGAAAAGCGCATCACGAACATACTTGCTTTGTTGTCTAGGATAAGGAAAAGACTGTATTTTTCTTCAATTTTCAACGTCTTCACCAAATAGAACTATGTCATCAGAATGCTCTGAGTCAACAAACGAGTCTCCTAATAGAAGGCCCACTGCTGAAAAGTCAGACGAAGATTATGTCTGTGACAAAGTTAAACAAGAATGGAGAGAGTGGACAGCCCTGACGGACACCAATTGAAGTAATCAATTCCGATGACAGTTAGCCAGTAGTGTTCCATTTGAGAGCTTGTATAGGGTTAATGTACTTCCCTGGTATACCTTTTAATGACAGACACTGCCACAGAACCTCAGAATCGACAAAGTCGTGTGCCGACTTAAGGTCAAGGAATACAACTCTAGTGGGACTTCGAAATGTAAGTCTATGTTCTAGGACCTGACGAAGAATGAATATATGGTCCATACATCTACATCCAGATCCGAAACCAGCCTAATTTTCTCGAGTCTGCTCTTCATGAGTTCTGGTTAGGCGTCAGAGTACTTTCGAGGCTAATAATTTAGACACTATATTAGTTAAACTGACTTCTGTGATTGTCACGAGAGCTTTTGTACTTTCTTATAAATTTGGACAATCAGGGATTGTGATCAATTGGATGAAATGACGCCCATTTCCCAAATTCTACCTAAGATCTCAGTTAATCTAGCTTCTAAAGCAGGACCACCATCCTTAAAAATCTCAGGGACCAATTCATCAAATCCTGCTGCTCTACCCCACTTCAGATTTCCTATAGCTTTCTCAACTTCATGAAAAGTCGGATTTACGCCGATTTGCCATCACTAATTCTACTTAAAGTTGCCGCTTTTAGTCTTACATCTCCCCAACCCACCTTCTCCCAACCGAAGCTGCTACCTCGACGTGGTGGTCGGGCTTGCCTATCGTCATGACCCAACCGAACTATATTGGCTGGAACTTATGTTCCTGAAGGTTCTAACATGCCAGGCCATTCGATTGGAGAACGATGAGACTAAAAGCAGCTACTCAAAGTCTGAGGGCGAAATCGTACTGTCGACTGACTGAAGAGGGGTGTTTCCCTAGGACAAGCGGCATCTACAGCGATGCTGCCTTCTCTGAAGGAAGGAAGGGTTAGAAAAGGTCGGCCCTAAAAATGTCACACCTCCCCTAACTCACGGATTTCTGTCTCCGGCGGTAAGGGTGACCACTAAGGGCTTTCAAGAGCGGAGCTAACACTCAAAAAACTTCTCATAAAAAGGCCGTGCGTGACCGGCCTCAAGCAGTTGTCCCCTGGGCTCCGCGGTCACGCACCCAAGTCTCCAAGACTAACACTAATCCATCTTCCTTTTCAGGTTCCTCAAGAAAAAACCTTCCACGGTGTGGGCAGCCAGGAAGTGATAACCGTCCTCACACCCGAAACAGCACACGAGACTAAATTGGTCAAAATCAAATCCTTCCTACACCAACACACACCTCTCTTATCTCCACGACTAACTCTTCTCACATCCATTTATCACAGTGCACAGCTGATGCAAACGATGCGAGTTCGCGAAACGTCGTTCCTGGTCTCCTTAAACCCCGCTCTAGACTACATGTTGGAGCATTTAATGTACGGACATTGTGTCAAATAGGGCAACAGGCATCATTAGCTAGGACTTTAAAATCTCGTGCCATCGATGTTTGCTGCGTCTCGGAAACGCGCATACAGGATCCTAGTAAAATTATTAATCTGATTCCACCTTGTCAAAATAAAGAAGCAGCTCGATTTATTCTTCGTGTATCCGGTAGCCTTGATGCTGCTTCCAGGGGTATTGCTGGCGTAGGCATAGCATTGAGTCGTAGGGCAGAACAATCTCTCCTTGACTGGATCCCAGTATATAGTCGCTTGTGCGCTGTCCGACTAAACGGGACAGTAAGGACTTGGAAAGATAGGGACAATCGCCGTTGCCTCTTCATTGTATCTGCCTATGCCCCCACTGACTGCAGTTCAGACGAGGTAAAAGATGAGTTTTACAGAAAGCTTTCGGACCTCCTCCAAAAAGTTAAGCGCTCTGATATAGTTATAATGGCTGGTGACTTCAATGCACAAGTAGGTAGACTGAGTGAAAATGAAAGACTCCTAGGTGGATGTTATGGTGTCGCGGTTCAGAGAACAGACATTTGTGACCGTCTGTTGCAAGTATGCTCAGACAACCGCCTATTCTTAACAAACACTAACTTTAGGCATAAGGGAAAGCATGTATTGACCTGGCGACCCCCGAAGTCGTCTCAACTTTGGACACAACTAGATCATATCGCCATCAGCCACCGATGGAGGTGTTCGATAGAAGACTGTCGCTCGTTCTGGGGCACATGTTTAGATTCAGATCATGCCCTAGTGCGAGCACGTATTTGTTTGAAGGCTTAGCTGGACGTAGGAAAGACACCGTAAGGAAGCCTCTTAGGGCTTTCACTTGAATGATAATCAAGGCTAAGAAAATATTTCAGGAGGAACTAGAAAGACAGTTAGGCGACCATTTAAGCGATTCCCATCCGGAGGCAGGTTGGAATGATATCAAAAAGGCTGTGGAAACAGCAGAGATATCTACTAGCAAGGTAAACCATAAGGCTAAGATGAAGCCGTGGATTTCAGTCCCATCCACCGAACTGATGGATGCTCGAAAACGCATCCCACCTGACTCTGAACATGATGAAGAACGAAGTCAACTTAGGCGCAGACTTATAAAAAGCCTACGTAACGACCGCGAACAGTGCTGGGTGGCGAAAGCAAAAGCGATGGAAAAGGCAGAGGCGATAGGCAACAGTAGGCAACTATTTAGACTTATCAAGGAAACTGTTATTAGGAACCCGAATGTGAGTGAGACTATCTCGGAAAAGGATGGTCTTATTATCCATTCTCAATCTAGGAGGCTGGACCGATGGGCAGAACACAGTAGGGATCAGTTCAACTGGCCTCGAGCCACTCTTCGGCTACCCACGATCCCCAGTCATCTTGAATGGCCAATCGATTTAAGTCCTCCCAGTTTACATGAAGTTGAGAAAGCTATAGGAAATCTAAAGGTAGGTAGAGCGGCAGGTCCTGATAGGCTTACCCCTGAGATGTTTAAGTATGGTGGTCCAATTTTAACGGTTAAACTGACCGAGATCCTAGGTAGAATCTGGGAAATGGACGTAATCCCATCTGACTGGTCTCAGTCGCTAATTGTCCCAATCTACAAGAAATGACAAAAGTCCTCTTGTGACAATCACAGGGGAATCAGTCTAACTGATATCGTTTCCAAATTGTTAGCCTCGATTATACTTAGACGTCTAACTAGAGCTCGTGAACAGCAGACTCGAGAAAACCAGGCTGGTTTTCGACCTGGACGTGGTTGTATAGACCACATCTTCACACTACGACAGGTCCTGGAACACAGACACACATTTAGACGTCCTACGATAGTTGTTTTCCTGGACCTAAAAGCGGCATTTGACTCAGTGGATCGTGAGGTTCTGTGGCAGTGTTTGTAATTGAAAGGTGTACCAAAGAAGTACATTAACCTTATGCAAGCACTCTACTCGAACACCACTGGTCGGGTGAGAGCATATGGCGAACTGTCATCTGAATTCTCTACACAAGTGGTGTCCGTCAGGGCTGTCCACTCTCTCCATTCTTGTTCAACTTTGTCGTAGACATCCTCTTAGAGTTAACATTAAGCTCGTCAGATTTTTCAGGGGTTGACCTTCTACCAGGAAAGTCGCTTACTGATCTAGAATATGCCGATGACATAGTTCTATTCGGTGAAGACGCTGACAAAATGCAGAGTCTTCTGACTACCATAAGCAACAATGCGAGCATGCTCGGGATGCGGTTCTCACCCTCAAAATGCAAAATGTTGCTTCAAGACTGGGTTGCATTGGCACCTGAACTAGTGATAGGGAGTGAAGTAGTCGAGCGTGTTGATTACTTCACTTATCTTGGGAGTCTCATCAGTGCTGACGGTCTGGTGACTGACGAAATCTCAGCTCGGATACAGAAAGCTCGATTGGCTTTTGCCAACCTGTGTCACTTATGGCGTAGGCGTGATATCCGTTCGCTAACCAAAGGGCGGGTGTACTGCGCAGCAGTTCGTTCCGTTCTCTTATATGGCTGTGAAACATGGCCGTTAAGAGTAAAAGATGTTCGTAGGTTACTAGTATTCGATCATAGATGTTTAAGAAGCATTGCCCGTATATCGTGGGACAACCGAGTAAGCAATGCTGTCGTTAGGAAACGAGTACTAGGTAAGGATGGCAGATCAATAGATCAAGTGGTGAAACTTCATCAGTTGAGGTGGTTGGGACATGTGTTACGTATGGCTAACCACCGACTGCCCCGACGACCTATGTTTTGTTGTGTAGGAGTAGGTTGGAAGAAATCTAGGGGCGGCCAGACCAAAACATGGCACAAATCCATGATGTCACTGACTAGTGTACTGAGTCATGTTGGTAGATGTAGACTACCTGGTTGGGGTCCGCGAGACGAAAGTCACCAATGGTTAGAGACCTTGAACGACATGGCTCAAAATCGTTTGCAATGGCGCAAGTGCATCCATTCTTTGAGCTCTCTCAAATCCTAATCTTCTGGATTCGTCATCACCTCTACCTTTGTCTTTCTAACCTTATCTCACTGAATTATACTTCTTGAATAGTATCTTCGAACCCTGGTCTTCTTCATTACCATTAATACCTCTACTATCTTTATCACTATGGGATTTGATTTGACATTTTCGTCTCTGTGCTAATATGGTATGGTAACATGAACTGATGTACATACGTACGAAGTTCTACGTTGCAACTGACTGATTTACTGACTGACAACCCACCTTCTTGGCAAGGGAGGACGTAAAGAAATGAATGCTCTAACCAATATCACCCGGTTGAGTCATTACGTTATACAAGCTCAAACACCATACCAAGGTAGCAGCTACGGTCAGGAAAAGTAACTGAAACAAATGATAGGTAGTGATTGTCAGTAAATTTGATGAACGATTTGTGGACAACGTACACAATATAGAGGAACTAAAAAATTTAATGTGCAAACGATCTTTTAACATGTCTGGCTTAGAAACGCGTATTTGATTTATTATAAACGCTTACACTAAGGAGGTGGTCACTACTCATGAACTTGGGAGTAGAATAAAATGAATAATTTCACTTACATGAGTGGTTAGTTTGAAGGGTTTGTGATATAAGCGCACGAGCTGAATGCCCAGGTGACGTGGATCCTTTCAAATTTTCTGGTAATTTGTTAGAACTAAGTGATGAACTTTTGCTTAAATTGTGTTCTTCAGTTGCGCTTTTACAATGGGCCTGTTCAGCCAAAATCTCGATGATTTTGTCTACTTGGCGTGATGACAAATCATAATGAGAGAGAGAGACACAAGTTTTATGTGATCCACTTGAAACACATGTAGTTGTATTGTTTGGATTATGTGGACTGCAAATCACAGTTGGACTATTTTGGTGCGAAACATTACGGCAAACAGAATCTGTTGTATTGGAAGGAAGGCGATGGTTTTCGGTCAGAGAAGTGACAGAATTCGAAAAAGCTGGACTGTGATTAGAAGTCCCTGCGTACCTTGTATCGCCCATTGAATATATCATCTGTGAAAAAAGGATACACCAAACACCATAAATCGTGTCATTTAGTTAATACACGGCTAGTAGTACAAGGGTTTCGTGACAGTTGACAACTTTGAAACCAACATTTAACTAACATACTAAATAGGTCGCAGCTGGCACTGATTAAGTCACTGTAAAGAATTTTAACTCTTTCGTTATGAAAAAGATGTTACATGAAACTAAGGCCGTTCACTGCTTGATCTCAGATACTGGGTATCATCCCAAAAATCTACTTATTAGATTTACATAAACCATCAACAGATCTGAATATTGATCTAAACTAATGTGAAGGCTTTTTTCATTTTTAACTGGAAATCTATGACTACAAATATGAGTGAGGGTAGATCTTAAAGAAAACCTGACTAAAAATGTTATCATAAGTCGTCAAAACAGTAACAGTGAATGACGTTGTGGAGTCACATTAATGATAAAAAGATGTGATCTGACAACCAACACAAATTCGGAGTTTGGATAATAATTCAAGCAACAAAAGTTGATGCAACGACCACAAGTGACTGAATAATATTCTTTTCAGTCTTGGAACACAAATGAAGACTGTAAAATGTACCAGTTAGTCACTCAAACGCAACTCAGAATCCTGCATGTTCACATCAGTTCGAGTTGCTATGTCTCAGTCGCACGGTGAGATGAAATTCTTAGGATGAATCCCAGGGTAGTAGTAGTATTAGCAACAGGATTAGTGGCAATAGAAGACTGCGCATCCAAAATAAAACTCCAGAATATGTGCATCATTAAAGTAATAAAAAAAGGAATTTACAAATTCAGAATCTAGTGGAAAACGATGAGTAAATGCACCTAGGTCATTGCATAACGCTATCAGCACAATTCAACTGAACTTTATTGGAAGATGAATCAGTTACCAATTATTACACTAATTGACTGCAGAGTGTGATAAGAGACGCAGAAATGCAATTCAATTGACCTTCCATAACCCTTGCTCGGGAACTACTAAATACCAGTTTAAAAGGAATAATGTGTTTTGTGTTCAACTGTTAGTCAGGCGAGCTGACCTTATTTGAAAGAAGACCATTGGACTGATAGCTCGAAACAGATTTTTTGAGGATGATGATCCACACTTTTCCCTAATATAAAGAGGCGCAACAACAACTGTCGAAATCAAATAATCTGCATCGGTGTCGCGTATTTCCTTTCAGCTGATTACATTTCAGATATTTAAAAATAAATGTACATAATTCACATATCAATGAATGTTGCTGTGTTGCATCACAGGATCCAGTTTTACCCTCTGTGGATGATGCGACTGACTGCTGCATAGTATGCTGCTACATTGACTATCTTCATCTGCATTTGGGATAGAAGAGCTAAGTTCTTTGCAAAGTCCACTTAGATCTCTGGTCAATTCGCATTCTTTGTTCTTGGTTGGTCTCTTTGGTTGATTACATTTCCCCGCCAACTTCTTTGATCTACTATATAATTAGTTCGTATTTCCTCTTACAGCTCTTTTTGTTGTTATTCTTAGGTCTGCTACATTTTCCACCTCCCAGCTTTAACGCACCTCCTCACCTGTTTATTTGCTACTGTGCATTTGGTCTGTTCTTTGGCTTTCTTTGCTCTAGTTAGGTTGTTTCTGATTAGTCTTTTTGTTCTTCCATTCTTGAATCTCGCCCAGTGTATCAACAGCGACCCACCCTTTATGTTGGCGTTTCTTGCAGCCATTCACTTACTGTTCACGATCCATCACCGCAATTTACAGAAGCACAATCTAAGAATTCATTACTGAATTCTAACCACAACATTGTCATACATTGTATCTTATATTGTCGGAGAAATTCTCATGATGCAAATAATACGAAACATCAGTCTGCTAATAAACTGATACAACAAAAACCTCGTTTACACTCAAATTGCATAGCTAAACCGCGTACATACTGAAAAGTGCTAGTGATAGCAACTTACCTTAGTACTATTCGTTACACCCTGACCAGGACCATATGTGAAGCTTTTATGCACATTACAGTTCCGAGACTCAACGCTGATTGAACCGGGATATGCAACAGGACTGTCCACTTTAATCAGTTGCCTGGAATTGGTGGGTGAACATGTCTGACCATCGAAATGGATTTTAGATCGCTTACATTTTTTTGAGGTAATGTCTGGGGAAAACTGGCAAGTGGTCACCTGACTTTTTTCCAAAGGAACTGACATTTTGCATGACTTATAAACTGAACCATTGATAGATTTTTCAGAAGCGCAGGATAACGAGTTAGGTGGTTGTTCAAGCAAATCACCTATGGAAGCCCGGATAGCATCCACTAGCTGATATAACGTAGATTTCTCTATAGTAAATAGGCATAAAGATTAATTAATGCATGATGAGTTCATTTATTAGTTTACATCGTTAAATATCTAAACAACAGATCTCTTGCAGCTAAAAGCATGAAACTAATATTTAGCTGCACTCGAGCGGAATCGGGAGCATCTGCACATCCCTAAATCCTGAGTGTAGCTTTCACAATTCGAACAAACATAATTACTACCTCATAGTCATACGAATGGTATTCCAGAAGTAAAGGAAACAAAAACCAGACACAAATGTATGAACATATGGCTCGCACCTGATTTTTGACCGACCTCATGACCTGATACTGCCGTTGTTTTTGATTTGTAGTCCCTGGGACGTTGTAGACTGAGAGAACCTGGTGAATAATGACTTGTGTTGGACTTCTGCGGAGAAAGCCGTCTATCAGGCGGAAGTTTTGTAGAGCTTCCATCTGATAACGGAGAACTATTTGGAGATATTTCCATATCATCCGTTGTGGAAGTCCTGGGTGGGAGGTGATTTAGCTTTGTTTTTCTTAACGAATCGTACCGACAATCATGAGCCACAGGACGGCTAACTAATCGGAAAGCCATGTCAGCACAAATAGCAACAAACCATGGTTTTTTCCGTCATTGTGGGGAACTCCTGTGGTATGACCGAGATCAATGTTATGGCTACAAATAAATAGGAATAATTTATTAATACTTGGATAGACTGGAAGTAAGATGTGATGAACTTGGACGCCGGACTTCCGCACTAACCGAATACTTAAGGCGTTTCAACTCATTAGATAGAAGCGAACGTTCATCTTTAATTGCACCAGATTCACCTTCAGAGATGGCGTGTGATCTTTTCAGGTTGTTTTCTGAAATTAATGAGTCACATGCTTGGAGATACCTTCAGTATTTTTCCGCTCACTGAGCAACTTTAACAGATCTCTTCTATTCATTTCAGGTAAATTCCACTCTGGAGGCTTTTGCCACTGAGAAACTTCGGTCATGCAGTTGTAGAAATATATCTTGCCTTTGGAGCTTAGTTGTTCTGACCAGTATCCACAAGTTCTGATTGCACTCTTTTGCCACTGTGTGTACAATAAAATGCAGAAAACAGCAAACTTGCCTCCGGTTTCCCATGCACACCACGTTCCTTTTTAGATTGGTGGTTAACAGAGTTCGACGAGCGGTTGGAATGATCCATGAAAACTAACAGAAGGGTTTTATTAAGATGACTTTGAGAGCTACCTTCCATGTGTTTTTCACAACTGTTACAATTAGTTAATGTGTGGTCTGCGAGTCACAAGAGAGAAGCTTCCGATCGGCCCTGACAACGCATATGCAACAGCTACGTTTAAGGAGATACTAAGAGCCCGCCAAAACAGTTGTAATCGCGGCAAAAGATTCGGTGAGCCATATTGTCAACTAGGTAAACATTTGACTGAATAAAACACAATCAAATTATGATTTCTGTTAATTTTTTGCTCGAATTTCTCGTGATAAGTCAGCTTAAATATACTAAACAGGGAACCTCTTTCAACTGTTTTAGTATGACGGTAAGTTAGGTCGAGGCTTGAACAAACGAGATTCCCTATTCAGTGTCAATGAATATTCTGCACTCTTCCTCTTGCAATTAAAAACCGAGCCATACGAAAATAAACATAGACATGACAAAATAAGGTCGGTATGTCTTTTAGGCACGTCATCGTAGGGGGTAACACTTTCCTGAACTACAGCTGGAACGAACGAAGCAAGACCTTTGATCTCAGTCTGCCATCAGAGACCTGGTCAACATTTCAGATACTTTACATGATGCTCCTGGAGTTTATTTAACGGCTGAACTTAATATTCATTGTAATGGATGCTTCGTGGAACGAATAATGTCGAGAGTCATCATTGATCGCATCCTAACCCTACTAACTTGCTCCAAGCATTTCGAATTCTGACAGCACGAGAAGCTATATGGATTGTGTGACTCGTGAAATATATTTTTTTAAATACCTGTCTGAACTGCATGGGTTACAAATTAAATGTTTCAGCTCAAACCAAGTAATGTTCCTTTTTGATACATTTCCTTTGAACTCACTCTAGGAAAGCAGAATAATAAAAAGATTGGTTCCTAGGAAACTAGTTAAAATACACTTGTTACCGCAGATGTCAGTCCATCAAGACCCTTGAGTGGAAGTATTATGATGGCGAATGCCTTCCTACGGTAGACTGCAATTCCAGGACCACTCAGAATGGATTGAATGAATGGGTCACTTCTGGTATGCAGAACCCTTCATCCGTCTACATTTAGGCGAAGTGAGCTTTCGATAGTCCAAAGAATTACTCTACTAAACCTAAACGATGAGCGATAATATTGTAAGGATCTCGCATTGCACGGTTAATTCTATGGATAACATTATCAAAGTCGATAAGAAATCTACTGAATAGCATGTCTGTATCTTCTTGTAAATTGCCTTCAAGTAGTGCTTATTTACTTGATCACCGCCTCCAATCCCCAGTACAATATATTCTTTTGCCTGCCTCTGTCCTCTTTAGAACTCCGGCATCCAGGTCTTGATTTAGGGTGAAACGCTGCAATTAACTCTCCACAACAGACAATACAGAACAAATAAATGAATAATGACGTAGGAATCTGTTTTATGCAGTCATGATAACATATCGACTCACTTCTGCAATGAAAATAGTCTGATGACAGTGTTGATTACAACTTTCTAAATACATATTCATACTGATTCATAACTCCAATCCAACACCACAGACCTGCACAAAATACTGGCCTGGACCAGGGCCACAATACGGAGATGATGAAACAGAAGATGGGATGTTAACACTATTCGAAAAGTCAGATAGTGTCAACAGTCCTCCCCTAATTTCAGGGACAACTACTAACTTTTCATTGTAGGACCAATTACTCACAAAGACTATGTTAGTAAGAATGTTACTTAAAACAGGATGAATATAGAACGAACAAAAAAGAACCCAAGCGTACGCAAGTGAGCTGTACATTCAACAGATATGATTTACATTAGTACCTACTATAATCACAAACATTCTGAATAGGGATAGAGAATAAAATACTTGGCGTTGCAGCTCGCGTAGAAGTGCGTTCTATGTCCTGACCTCGTTGCACTAACTACTACAGCATTTCCTGAAGAACTAACATTAGCCATCGCCCTACGATTTTCAACCAGCTTCTCTTCTTGATTGGTATCATTATGTCCTTACTGAACTTGGGTAAACAATATATACTCCTAACATTTTGTGTGTAATTGCACAAACACCGATCTTCATAACTCACTATTTCATTGAACTCGTAGTTCTCAGTCTCTAAGCTTTACCAGCCATATTGACTTAGTTCTTCTTCATTACCCATAAGCACTACTTGGCTCGCAAATGTCAAACTTACCGACGCGATTTTGCCCCGGAGCTTTAACGTAAGATTAATAAAGCTCATCATCAGAAGCTAGCGTATTCTAGTCAATTTAATCGTGAACACTGAAAATCGCTGCCTCCAATTGTAGATGGATTTTCTACCACAGCAATTCACTCCGATTCCAATAGGTGCAGGTTGGTATTCAACGTCCCAGATCCAAAACCAAAACACAATAATTCTGGGAGAAAATGGTCTTTATTCATTATGAAATGGAAATACAGACAATTACCCAACTACTGTTACACCTTCCAAGTCCAATTTACACTGGTGGGTATCCGCTTCTGGAAGAATAAGTGCTTCCAGTCTGTTACGTCCAATTTTTTGCTCTTTGATCCTTAGAAGCACTGTGCGTCGATCTATTTGCAATTCACGATCCCAAGGATTAAACCAAAAGGAAACTCAAAAGTAGGTACCAAAGTTTATTGCCAATTCACAAATAATCGACCAAAATGTGTTTGTTTATTACAAATAGACGACCAATGTCGTTCTAACAACAATAATTATAATAATTACAATTACCTTCTATTTTATAGGTTCCTGGAGCAAAAAACTGCAAACGAACAACCAAGACAAACAGGAGTCCAAAATGGCCGAAAATAATAATTCAAACAGGTTCATAAGTTAAGTAAAACAAATATACCCAAAAAACAGTGAAATTAATGATATTTATATAAAGGTTTTAACTAGCCAAATGTCTTCATTCCTCCCGTAACACAGTCTGAATTGCTACGGTATCAAATCCAAAATGGCTGTAGCCATATTAAATATCAAATTTAAACAACGTACATACAGTTCAGAAGCAAACATAAAAACTTCAATATAAGTACAATATATAGAAATAATAACAATATACAATGATAAAATCTCAAACTGGAATCAAATAGAGTACCGAAATGTCAACAGAAAGAGTCAGTCATATCATAACACAAATATATATACATGGAGGGATTTTCCAAAAAACAAACCCTTCAAAAAAGATTCTACACCGGCCCGCAAAATCCCCCCGTGCAAAAAACAAGCCCTTTCTTACAATTCAATTTATGGTTCACTCTCATCCCCTAATCCACACCGGAAGAACGAGTAGGACTTACAGCAGTACGCCTACCCGTCCTCCAACATGGATATAACCTATCTAGTTGGACCCTTCTAGGAGACACACCTTCGTATGTCTCTTCTCGCTACCCCGTTATTAGTACGGACAATTACCATTCTGACCTTTCCGTCCTTATCCGTCTCACAATCCTCTACTATTCCTAAGGGCTATTTTCCAGATCCTGTATGCGCGTTTCCGAGACGCAGCATATATCGATGGAACGAGATTCTAAAGTCCTAGCTAATGATGCCTGTTGCCCTATTTGACACAATGTCCGTACATTGAATGCTCCAACATGTAGTTTGGAACGGGGTTTAAGGAGACCAGGAACGACGTTTCGCGAACTCATATCGTCTGCATTAGCTGTGCACTGTGATGAATGAATGTAAGAAGAGTTAGTCGTAGAGATAAGAGAGGTACTAGGGAATGTAGAAAGGATTTGATTTTGAACAATTTGGTCTCGTGTGCTGTTACGGGTATGAGGGCGGTTATCACTTCCCGGCTGCCCACACCGTGGAAGGTTGTTTCTTGACGAACCTGAAAACGAAGATGGATTAGTGTTAGTCTTGGAGACCTGGGAGCGTGACCGCAGAGTCCAAGGGACAACTGCTTGAGGCCGGTCACGCACGGCCTTTTTATGAAATGTTTTTTGAGGATTAGCTCCGTTCTTAAAGGCCCTTAGTGTGCACCCTTACCGCTGGAGACGGAAATTCGTGAGGTAAGGTGAGGTGTGACATTTTTAGGCTCGACCTTTTCTAACCCTTCTTTCTTTGTGAGACGGCAGCATCGCTGTAGATGCTGGTTGTCTGAGGGAAACACCTCACTGCTGTCACACCCCTTTTCAGTCAGTCAGCAGTACGACTTCGCCCTCAGACCTTGAGTAGCTGTTTTTAGTCTCATCGTTCTCCAGTCGACCTGTCTGGCATGTTAGAACCTTCAGGAACATATGTTGCAGCCAATATAGCTTGGTTTGGTCATCACGATAGGTAAGCCCGATCACCACGTCAAGGTAGCAGCTTCGGTCGGGATACCATCTCTTACTTAATTTCCTGTTGGTAGATGTAGGCTACCTGGTTGGGGTCCGCGAGCGAAAGTCACGGATGGTTAGAGACCTTGAACGACATGGCTCAGAATCGTTTGCCATGGCGCAGGTGCATACACTATTTGTCTTCTGTCTAATTCTGACTTTCTGAATCTCATAATCTCTATCTTTCTCCTTCTAAATTTATCTCACTGAATTATACTTCTCGAATCATATTTTCGAACTATAATCTTCTCCATTGCTGCTAATACTCCTACTATTTCTACGACTCAGTCAGTTGCAACGTAGAACTACGTACGTATGTACATCAGTTCATGTTGCCATTCCACATTAGCACAAAGACGCAGATGTCAAATCAAATCCCGTAGTGATAAAGATAGTAGAGGTATTAATAATAATGAAGAATACCAGGGTTCGAAGATATTATTCAAGAAGTATAATTCAGTGAGATAAGGTTAGAAAGACAAAGGTAGAGGTGCTGACGAATCCAGAAGATTAGGATTTGAGAGAGCTCAAAGAATGGATGCACTTGCGCCATTGCAAACGATTTTGAGCCATGTCGTTCAAGGTCTCTAACCATTGATGACTTTCGTCTCGCGGACCCCAACCAGGTAGTCTACATCTACCAACATGACTCAGTACACTAGTCAGTGACATCATGGATTTGTGCCATGTTTTGGTCTGGCCGCCAATAGCTTTCTTCCAACCTAACTATTTCTACGACTATGGGATTTGAACTGACAGTTGCGTCTCTGTGCTAATGCGGTATGGCAACCTGAATTTATGTACTAATGTACGAAGGTCCACGTTGTAACTGACTTCTTTTCCTGAGCTAGTTTGTTTCTGAGCTTACTTCAAACTGCTTAAAAAATTGTTGAAACTCGATTTTTCCGTACACTTCTGACCTTACTTTTAATAGAGCGCAATGAAATTAAACGTCATAGTTTTTTCATCAGTTTTCTTGAATATCATATTTCACTGATTTGTGTTTGGCCGTATTACGGTCTTATAAGTAAACAAATTCCCTCACTTCACGGTTCCTGTCAGGTGTTAAAGGTAGTATGTAAACATTATGATTACCAGTCGAACAGTATATTTTTGTTTTCTTGTGTTTGAACCATCCATTGGTCGATAAATTCACTATTATGTGGCTACCATTTTTAGAATCGAAATCCAGCGCGTCCACTATCAGCAGCTGTTTGTTTTTTCCCTTACAGTTTTACCACTACCTCCCGGGGTTCCGATGTTTGTCCCCCTCTCTCAACCTCCTATGTCTTGCTATCATATGAATGTCGCCCACACGCACATGCCGTCATCGAATCCTGTTTTTATGCCCTCAAAGGCATCTAATACATCCGTTCCAACACCGAAAATGGAAATGGTTTCTGTTTCATCAGTTAACAAGGAAACTACCAGTGAACTCAACCCATCTCAAAAAGTTATAACTGCTCCGCCACAAATGGCTGGACCAAATGAGTTGGCGGCACGAGCCAAACAAGCCGCTGCAGCGGTCGCAGCTGCCAAATCTAAGGCTGAAGACGAAGATGATGACGTTACTCGAGCATTGCTAGCTGCAGCAGCCGGAGTTACTTATACTCGAGTCCAGGGGCCTGATGGGAAAGGTAAGTCCATTGCGTTTATGTTTCGTAGTAATGCTACGTAATCGTTATCAAAATAATGATCATCAGTTATATTTACAATTGCTGCTTACCATATACTATGACGTAGTTTTTCTTCCTCTAAGCAGTTTTATCAGAAACAGCCAATTATTTTAATCATGAGCGTTTTCTAATATAATATTAGTCAATGTAATTAACGATTAGTCATATTCTGTTAACATTTTCACACCTACATTCTTCTAATTATATTTTTATATTTAAAATTATTCAGAAAAGGTTTTAGCAAGTATCACTAAACCTCCGTTAACACCAGTTGTTACGCAATCGAGTAAAAAACCAAAGCCAGCTGATCTCACTACAGATACAGAAGTGAATAAAGTAACACAAACTATAGTATTACCACCAGCACCGCCTTCAATTTATCGCTCTGCTAGTACGAATACAAACGATCAAGTGTATAAAAAGAAAAAATACATTCGTACAGCTGCTGGAGTCACTTGGGAAGACCCAACTTTAGTTGAATGGGATCCAAGTAAGTTTTTTTTCATTTCAACTTATAAATGCAATTTTGTTGTACTAGTGTAACTCAATCTATACAAATAGAGAGGTGTTTCTAGCAGCACGTGTACCAAAGTTTAATTCTCACGAATTTTAAAAATGAGAATTAGTTTCACTTATTGGGGCACTCTATTTAATCAAGGTGAAATTGGGTCAATGGAAGTTGGAAATTCGCATGGGTTGTAATTAAGCATTATAAAGTTACAATTGAAGAAATTTTGTTAAGCTAAGTCAACAAAATGTAGGGTAGCCTCACTCTGTAATAGACCGATTTTGCTATAGTTGATTAGGTTTAATGTGATATTATGAAAAACATAGATATAGTTTTTCTACGGAGATGGATGTCCGTGAAACGGCAACCTGTTATAATGGGAATCTTTGATGATAAAATATTCTTCAAACTAAGTTAAAACGGGAGAATGTTTTTGGTAGAATATCATTCTGAGTATGATGGTTTAATCATAGACCTTTCATTGTTTTAATGAATAATATCATCAGCCCAAACTTCCGGTTATGAAATACGGTATAAATATTTTTACTTTCTGTATCTAATTCACCTAGAATAACAAGATCTAAACTGCACGGTGGTCAGTATGACATCGAAAACAGCGAAGAATGAAAATTATCACCACGTAGTGAATATTTTGAACAGAATTAATACCTTTATCTCGATCTTTAGCAATCATCAGTGGTATTTCATAACGTATTTCTCCACGTATGACAAACAGTTTTTCTCGTCATCCTTGATTAGTTGTTGACTTTCAATCTGTTATCAACCGCATACTTTTTCGACTGCCTCCTCTTTTGACTTGATTCTTAAGTCTTCTGACTACCTTAAGCAACAAAGCAAACATGTTCGGGATGCGATTATCCTCGTCAAAATGCAAAATGTTGCTTAAGTTTGGCTTGTATCGGCACCTGGATTAGTGATAGGGAGTGAGGCAGTTGAGCGTTTCGACCGCCTCACATATCTCGGGAGTTTCGTCAATGCCGATGGCCTGGTGACTGACGAAATCTCAGCACGAACACTGAAGGCTCGCCTAGCTTTTGCCACTTTGCTTGATTCATGGTGTAGGCGAGATATTCCGTTAGCTGACCAAAGGACGAGTTTGATGCGCAGCAGTTCGCTCCATCCTACTATATGGATGCGAAATATGGCCGGTAAGAGTTGAGGATGTTCGTAGGTTATTAGTATTCGATTATCGATGTCTTTGAAGCATTGCTCGTATATCCTGGGATAACCGAGTAAGCAATGTTATCATTAGGAAACGAGTGCTAGGTGGTAAAAAGAAATTAATCAAAAACTCTTATTTGGTCTGGATACTTGGAAACTGAACAGATTACTTACAAAACTACACTTCTTAGGTGAGAAGACAAAAACCACTAGCAATTGGTAGGACGACTTTTCTGGTGCATAAATTTGTGTTTTTCCTTTGGCTTATAGATGACTTTCGATTATTTTGTGGAGATTTGGGAAATGAAGTGACAGACGACACTCTAGCACGAGCATTTAACCGCTATCCTTCTTTCCAAAAAGCAAAAGTTGTTCGAGACAAACGTACGAGTAAATCTCGTGGTTATGGTTTCGTCAGCTTCTCTGATCCTGGAGATTTCACCCGTGCCATGCGAGAAATGAATGGTTAGTTAATATTTATTTCCAGTAAGCTAAACACAAAATTGTCTAATCTATTCAATTATCTATCAACTAAATAAAATAACATTCCATCTGTAGTTCCTCATCAAGTGATAAAGGATAAATTACAGAAAGCTTCCAAGGTGAAACGTAATCCACTTGTTTTCTTTAGTAGATGGGAAAACCTTTATTATTGAAATTCATTTTCAAACCTTGACTAATACAAAATTACACATCACTGTAACCATCTATTTGTAGTTAATATTGTGTATATTCAATTGCTTAATAATAGTGCGATGGTTTCTAAATCTATTTCGTATTCTTACCAACAGTGTCATTTTCTCATTGAATCAGTATATTCAGCTCATTTGAATATTACTGAGGACGAACATAACACATCGCACGATCGTTCCAGTTTCTGTTGTCACATTTCGCATGAACTATTGCAATGAGGCGAAACCCAAATCAAATAAGTATATCTCCTGCATCACTGTGCTGCAGGTTTCAAGACGTATACTCAGGTTTCGCACAGTTATGGATTTATGGTAATTCCCATTTTAATGGTAACGATGATGATTGTGGGGTACACTTAGCAAAACACAAAGGCTGAGATTTAGCCTTAACTTCCACTTTGCACATTAGACTATGAGATCCTTTTTTGTATAAATTTTGTTGACTGACTACTTGTGACATTTATGTTACTGAAAGATAAGTCATTGGAGCACGCCCCCTTAAACTATTATGAATTCTGCGCACAAAATGTGCCCGTTAGAAACATGGAACTATATGAAAGTCTAGAGAAACATCTTTTTCTGATAAAGGAGGTATACGGTCAACAATATCTTATCACGTAGATTCTAAAACTATTTTTTCCTTACTATTTTAGGTAAATATGTTGGTAATCGTCCAATCAAACTAAAGAAGAGCGAGTGGCGTAATCGGCAATTGGAAGTCCACAGAAAAAAAGAGAAAGAAAAACGTAAACTAGGTTTGAAAAACTGATAATTTCCCACCATAACCCATTAAATTTATCCTGTGAATATTTTTCTACTTTCGAATTGTAAAGTCTCAAAATACTTATCTTAGTCATACTCTTTTTATTCTCATTGCAAGTGAAGACCTTAAACCTAGTTTTTCTTCCTATGCTGATGCAGTTTGTGAGCTCAGACGAGTTTTAATTATATGCCGAAGCCAATCCTTATAGACTACAAAATGAAGCGAACTTCACTGAGGGAATTATATTATACAGTTGAGAGACATGTGAGTTGTTTTTTCTTATTTCGGATATTAATTAAACAGAACAAGATAATGCTTATGACAGTTTTCCGTAAATAAGATCATTTACGTTTAATGAACGCAGTGTGAATTATGCTGGCTTTTTGGGATCTATTAGCCTAACTGATTAATAACACCGTACATTAATTGCTAGTTGATGCTAACATTTATATTTTTAATGAAATGGACTTGTATCGCTTATCAACATAGTTGTCAAAATACGTGATAGTTGTAAATATCTTATAATGCCACATGTAGACACTGCAACTTTTTACTGATGACAATCGACAGTTGTTGCTTAGTTAGGGCTACCGTAATTAAAAGTCAGCGTCCTATCTGCTTTATACTTACATACCGGTTGCTTTTACACGAGTCGACAGGTTTCAGAAGGCGCGTGGTGTATATTTAGAATGAACTTGATGTGGTTCGTTAGAAAGTCGATGAGTATATTGTACGATACGACACCATTAAACTTATTAGTTGTTTCATCTTGTAGGATGATTGAAAATCATAGTTCTTAGAAAAAATAGATTAAACAAAGAGATATTATTAGCTACGCATCAATGACCAAATACCTGGAGTTTACTCATTCTTTAATCGAGAAAGCTATGTCTGTCACAAATGATCATTGTTTTACAGCTGATTTTTTAAGCGCATGCGTATATAGTCATTTGTAAAAATTCATGGAGAATTTGCACATTTAGAATACTTTTCCGATAGTAAACGTAGAAGAAATTAACAGCTGTACTGATGTACATTTGCGTGTGTTCGATGTGTTCAACTACTATACCTTTCGAAACTACATTATTTAGAAGCATAGACTACTTGAGAAGCGACCATTCATAAATGCAAAGAGAAAATACATTTTAACCTCACATCTAAAAAGTTACTAAACTAAATAACTTGGTCTAAGAAAATAGAAATGGACTGATTAGAATGACACAAAATATTTGAAAGTGATTGTGGGGTAGGATTCACACGTATAATTCATTTTCAGCCACATTAATGTAGTCTTTAATCGCTTTTCCATCATTCTGAAGATCCACGAAAATCAAAAAACCGACCAGCCGTATGTGGTTTCATAAATCTGCCACATAGTTTGTTCCAGCTACTTACTCAGTTTAATCATGTCATGTGATGTGAAAATTAGCTAAGTCACTTTACTGACTGGCAGACATTTGGTACGCCAAGAAAACAGTGATCAGTTATAGACTCAGAAATTTTATTAAAAATAAATTAGTGTTTAATCTATTTTTGTTCGCTTTTTGCCGGCGATTTGCAATCGTTTAGACTGAATTAGTAAACTATTTATCTGTAAAACAAGGATTAACTAGTGTAAAGAAGTAAATATAAATAAGTGAACTTACAACAATTAATAGACTGTTTAAAATAGCAGGGATGTTCCAAATACATGATATAAAGTATCCATAGCTATCAAAGTATTGCTCAGTAGCGAACAAACTAAAAAGGTTGAAAATTTACAAATAATTATTACTTCCAGTTATTAGCAGCCAATTCATTAATCCAATGTGAACACCAAACAGTACCAACTAAGTCGTAAATAATTATACACAAAATCTTACGGGAAATAAACAAGATACACAGCAGTAGGTCAGTACGTTTGCGGAAAGCAATTATACAAACAGATACGAGAAAATGGAATCCTATTAATGAAACTAACCACAGTTCATTGCTCCACGGAATCTGAATATAAAATCATAACATGAAATTTACAGACCGATAATATGGTTCCATATATAGTATTTACAGTATCGTTAACTGTAGTTTCAAGGAATCGAACACTGAGGTTCATTTGTTATAATCAGACGGAATCTTCAAGTCTGAAAGTACCTGAAAATTAGGAATAATATATACGATGAGAATCGTAATTCAGTTCATCTCATGCATTTTTGTGAAAAGACGAGTTAAGATAAAACAGTGGCGAAAAAACGAAAGAGAAAGTGGTGGCCGGTACCACTTCGAGCCATATCAACCAAAGTATATAACCCCCGGTTACGATTGTCTCGCGGAACCCATTTAGTAGTCCATTCCTACTAACATGGAACAGGAAATCGCCAGTGACTCTATGGATTTGTGCCATGTTCTGGTTTACCCATCCCTAGCTTCCTTCCAGACAACACCGTCCATCAAGGAAGTCGCTGGTTAGTCAGTCAGTCAGTCAGTTGCAACGTAGAACTTCGTACGTAAGTATATCAGTTCATGTCGCCATATCACATCAGCATAGAGATGTAATTGTCGATTCAAATCCAATAGTAGAAGAGTTAGTAAGGGTATTAGAAGTAATCGGGGAGGTTAGGATGAGAAGATATTATTCAAGAGGTATGATTAAATGAGAAAAGTTTAGAAAGTCAAAACTAGAGGTGTTGAAGAATCCAGAAGATTAGGATTTGAGAGAACACAAAGAATAAATGCACCGGCGCCATTGCGAACGATTTTGAGTCATGTCATTCAAGGTCTCTAACGATCGATTATTATCATCTCGCGGACCCCAACCAGGTAGTCGACAATTACCGACATGGCTAAGTCCACTCGTCAATGACTTCATGGATTTCTGCCATGTTTTGGTTTGGCCGCCCCTAACTTTCTTCCAACCTATTCCTACACTACAAAACAAAGCTCGACGAGGCAGTCGGTGGTTGGGCATACGCAACACATGTCCCAACCACCTCAACTGATGAAGTGCCACTACTGCGTCTATTGATCTGCCATTCTTACCTAGCACCCGATTCCTAATAACAGCGTTGCTCACTCGGGTGTCCCACGATATACAAGCAATACTTCGAAGACACCTATGATCGAAAACCAGTAACCTACGAATATCTTCTACTCTCACTGGCCATGTTTCACAGCCATAAAGTAAGACGGAGCGAACTACTGCGCAGTACACTCGTCCTTTAGTCAGCAAACGGATATCTCGCCTACGCCATAAGTGACACAGGTTGGCAAAAGCCAATCGAGCTTTCTGTATCCGTGCTGAGATTCCGTCAGTTACCAGGCTATCAGCGCTGATGAGACTCCCCAGATAAGTGAAGTGTTCAACACGCTCGACTACTTCACTCCCTATCACTAGTTCAGGTGCCAATGCAACCCAGTCTTGAAGCAACATTTTGCATTTCGAGGGGGAAAACCGCATCCCGAGCATGCTTGCATTGTTGCTTATGGTAGTCAGAAGACTCTGCATTTTGTCAGCGTCTTCACCGAATAGAACTATGTCATCGGCATATTCTAGATCAGTAAGCGACTTTCCTGGTAGAAGGTCAACCCCTGAAAAATCTGACGAGCTTAATGTTAACTCTAAGAGGATGTCTACGACAAAGTTGAACAAGAATGGAGAGAGTGGACAGCCCTGACGGACACCACTTGTGTAGAGAATTCAGATGACAGTTCGCCATATGCTCTCACCCGACCAGTGGTGTTCGAGTAGAGTGCTTGCATAAGGTTAATGTACTTCTTTGGTACACCTTTCAATGACAGACACTGCCACAGAACCTCACGATCCACTGAGTCGAATGCCGCCTTAAGGTCCAGGAACACGACTAACGTCGGACGTCTAAATGTGTGTCTGTGTTCCAGGACCTGTCGTAGTGTGAAGATGTGGTCTATACAACCACGTCCAGGTCGAAAACCAGCCTGGTTTTCTCGAGTCTGCTCTTCACGAGCTCTAGTTAGACGTCTAAGTATAATCGAGGCTAACAATTTGGAAACGATATCAGTTAGACTGATTCCCCTGTGATTGTCACAAGAGGACTTTTGTCATTTCTTGTAGATTGGGACAATTAGCGACTGAGACCAGTCAGATGGGATTACGTCCATTTCCCAGATTCTACCTAGGATCTCGGTCAGTCTAACTGTTAAAACTGGACCACCATACTTAAACATCTCAGGGGTAAGCCTATCAGGACCTGCTGCTCTACTTCGCTTTAGATTTCCTATAGCTTTCTCAACTTCGTGTAGACTGGCAGGTCTTAAATCGATTGGCCATTCAAGATGACTGGGGATCGTGGGTAGCCGAAGAGTGGCTCGAGGCCAGTTGAACTGATCCCTACTGTGTTCTGCCCATCGGTCCAGCCTCCTAGATTGAGAATGGATAATAAGACCATCCTTTTCCGAGATAGTCTCACTCACATTCGGGTTCCTAATAACAGTTTCCTTGATAAGTCTAAATAGTTGCCTACTGTTGCCTATCGCCTCTGCCTTTTCCATCGCTTTTGCTTTCGCCACCCAGCACTGTTCGCGGTCGTTACGTAGGCTTTTTATAAGTCTGCGCCTAAGTTGACTTCGTTCTTCATCATGTTCAGAGTCAGGTGGGATGCGTTTTCGAGCATCCATCAGTTCGGTGGATGGGACTGAAATCCACGGCTTCATCCTAGCCTTATGGTTTACCTTGCTAGTAGATATCTCTGCTGTTTCCACAGCCTTTTTGATATCATTCCAACCTGCCTCCGGATGGGAATCGCTTAAATGGTCGCCTAACTGTCTTTCTAGTTGTTCCTGAAATATATTTTTCGCCTTATTATCATTAAGTAAAACCCTAAGAGGCTTCCTTACGGTGTCTTTCCTACGCCCAGTAAGCTTCAAACAAATACGAGCTCGCACTAGGGCATGATCTGAATCTAGACATGTGCCCCAGAACGAGCGACAGTCTTCTATCGAACACCTCCATCGGTGGCTGATGGCGATGTGATCTAGTTGCGTCCAACGTTGAGACGACTTCGGGGGTCGCCAGGTCAATACATGCTTTTCCTTATGCCTAAAGTTAGTGTTTGTTAAGAATAGGCGGTTGTCTGAGCATACTTGCAACAGACGGTCACAAATGTCTGTTCTCTGAACCGCGACACCATAACATCCACCTAGGAGTCTTTCATTTTCACTCAGTCTACCTACTTGAGCATTAAAGTCACCAGCCATTATTACTACATCAAAGCGCTTAACTTTTTGCAGGAGGTCCGAAAGCTTTCTGTAAAACTTATCTTTAACCTCGTCTGAACTGCAGTCAGTGGGGGCATAGGCAGATACAATGAAGAGGCAACGGCGATTGTCCCTATCTTTCCAAGTCCTTACTGTCCCGTTTAGTCGGACAGCGCACAAGCGACTATATACTGGGATCCAGTCAAGGAGAGATTGTTCTGCCCTACGACTCAATGCTATGCCTACGCCAGCAATACCCCTGGAAGCAGCATCAGGGCTACCGGATACACGAAGAATAAATCGAGCTGCTTCTTTATTTTGACAAGGTGGAATCAGATTAATAATTTTACTAGGATCCTGTATGCGCGTTTCCGAGACGCAGCAAACATCGATGGCACGAGATTTTAAAGTCCTAGCTAATGATGCCTGTTGCCCTATTTGACACAATGTCCGTACATTAAATGCTCCAACATGTAGTCTAGAGCGGGGTTTAAGGAGACCAGGAACGACGTTTCGCGAACTCGCATCGTTTGCATCAGCTGTGCACTGTGATAAATGGATGTGAGAAGAGTTAGTCGTGGAGATAAGAGAGGTGTGTGTTGGTGTAGGAAGGATTTGATTTTGACCAATTTAGTCTCGTGTGCTGTTACGGGTATGAGGGCGGTTGTTTCTTGAGGAATCTGAAAAGGAAAATAGATTAGTGTTGGTCTTAGAGACCTGGGTGCGTGACCGCAGAGCCCAAGGGACAACTGCTTGAGGCCGATCACGCACGGCCTTTTTATGAAACGTTTTTAGAGGATTAGCTCCGTTCTTAAAGGTCCTTAGTGGGCACCCTTACCCAAGGAGACGGAAATCCGTGAGGTAGGGTGAGGTGTGACATTTTTAGGGCCGACCTTTTCTAACCCTTCCTTCCTTGTGAGAAGGCAGCATCGCTGCAGATGCTGGTTGTCCGAGGGAAACAGCTTACTGCTGTCACACCCCTCTTCGGTCAGCAGTACGACTTCGCCCTCAGACCTTGGGTAGCTGCTTTTAGTCTCATTGTTCTCCAATCGACCAGCCTGGCATGGTAGGACCTGCAGGAACATATGTTCCAGCCAGTACAGCTCGGCTGGGTCATCACGATAGGCAAGCCCGACCACCACGTCAAGGTAGCAGCTACGGTCGGGTGGTTAGACATCCGTAACACATGTCCCAACCACCTCAAGTGATAAGCATTGACAACTTCAATTGATTTTCCATCTCTACCTAGTACCCTTTTCCTGACCCAGGCATTGCATGCTCGATGGTACCAGGATACACAAGCAATACATAAAAAGCACCTATGATTGAATACTAGTAACCTACGAACATCTACTCTGACAGGCCATGTTTCGCATCCAAATAGTAAGACGGGGCGAACTGCTGCGCAGTACACTCGTCTTTTGGTTAGCAAACGGATATCTCGACTACGCCATAAGTGACGCGAGTTGGCAAAAACCAATCGAGGCTTCTGTATCTGTGCTGAGATTTCGTCAGTCACCAGGACATCAGCACTGACGAGACCCCCCAGATAAGTGGAGCGGCCTACACGTGCGACTACTTCACTTCCTAACACTAGTTCAGGTGCCGATACAAGCCAATCTTGAAGCAACGTTTTGCATTTCGAGGGGGAAGAGCGCATCACGAACATGCTCGCATTGTTGCTCAGGATGTGGTGCGTCAGGGATGTCCACTTTCTCCATTCTTGTTTAATTTTGTCGTAGACATGCTCCTAAAGTTAACATTAACATAGACATGCTCCTAGAAATAACCTTATCGTCGTCAGATTTTTCAGGGGTTGACCTTCTACCAGGAAAGTCGCTTACTGATCTAGAATATGCCGATGACATAGTTCTGTTCGGTGAAGACGCTGACAAAATGCAGAGTCTTCTGACTACCATAAGCAACAATGCAAGCATGTTCGGGATGCGGTTTTCCCCCTCGAAATGCAAAATGTTGCTTCAAGATTGGGTTTCATCGGCACCTGAACTAGCGATAGGGAGTGAAGTAGTCGAACGTGTAGACCGCTTCACTTATCTGCGGAGTCTCAGCAGTGCCGATGGCCTGGTGACCGACGAAATCTCAGCTCGGATACAGAAGGCTCGATTGGCTTTTGCCAACCTGTGTCACTTATGGCGTAGGCGAGATATCCGTTTGCTG